GCTGATCACGGGAGGCCGACCTTTACGGAAGAACGTAGCATTCGCGCTTTGACGGCAGCACACTTTCGCACATTAAAAGAGCGGCCTCTACACCGGATTGCAGATTTTTTATTTGCATATTTAAGGCCAGTTGGAGAGCTCGACTAACATTTCACTTTTGGATCACATTTTATGGATTTTCTTTTAGTGGCGTAAAAGAAAACGGTCGCACGCTGCTCTCACAAGTTGGCCGGCGCCCCTGGAGATCTGGCCATTAGTAATTTAAATTCCAGGGTTTTGGCGGTTCATTAAGACGAACCAAAGCTAAATGCTGGAGAACTCCAAATTAAAGCTTAAAGTTGGAAAAAGCTTTTCAAAAACAGCTGATCGGCCAAACATGTTTTTATCTACAAAATTATCTTTCCCACGCGCTCGCCATCAGGCCACTTCTTTCTCTTTATTGTTGTCGTCGCCAAATCACTTATTCGTTGCTTTCGGTTGGGAGTGGTTCGCCCATTTTCGGTCAGCAAATAAATTAGTCTGTGTTCTTACATTCTAAATCCGGCGATTTAAATATTCTGAAAGGTAAGTGAAGCACAAGCACTTGAGAATTATATAAAACGGTCCCAAAGTGACGCCCTACCTACCACCCACTTTAATCTCATCTCGCTCAATTAGTTACTGCATTTATAACGCTGACTTGCATATATCTGAGCGATTAAAAATGGTGAATTTCTTAACCCGTCGTGATATGTAAATGGCAAAATTCGAGCCTTTTTTCTATGCGAATAATTTGCGTTGTTTAAGTTTATGCATAACCCCTGGCCCCAACCTACATATTTAGCGTCGAACTTTCCCCACCGGTCTGTTTTTATATGCAATTTATCTGTCTGCCGCTGTGTTTGTTTTTTTTTTTTGCACCGGTTTGCCTCCCTCCAAAAGAGAGATATAGATAATAAAGAAAAAAAGATGAAAGAAAGGGGTATACATAGATGGGGAGACAGAGACAGACACGTAACCCATTCGGCAGGCTTTTCTCTTCCACCTGATTCTCCAGGTGGTGTCCAAAGTTTAATCTTGAATTTGTGTCGACAGTTTTAATTAAACCTATACAATTACTATGCATATTTGCAATTAGATTGTTCGAGAACATCTCCAGATATTCTGACTAGGGCTCGTACCTCATTGAAACTCAAAGTAGGACCGGCCTAGTGAACAAGAAATATCACTTGTTTGTATTTCTAAAAATAAATCAACTAAAAATATTTTTGGGCTTAATAATTGTTTTTCACATTTTTAACGAGTGTGTAAAAAGTTACTTTTTTAATTTTATTGTACAGTAGGTAAGAAAATTAAAACATGTGCACGTTGTGCAATGCCGTAAATTTTTAAATTACAAAACACTTGCTAACTATTTATTTTTTTACGATAATTATTTTAAAAAGCTATAATGTTTTAAAAAATATGTTCTACGGATTTATACACATTTTTATCCGCAAGAATTTTATATTACTAATCAAATATTTTTATTTAAAAGAACGTTATTTAGAAAGGTTAAATAATCAAATTCAAATTTTAATTTAAAATAAAAATTAAAAAAATTTAATGTTGATAGAATCTAAAGTATTTGTTTCCTCGTCATCGCAAATCTATTTACCAATGCCAAATCTTATCGGCCATAATGGAAAAAAGTGGAAGGGGTGTGTTGGAGTTTGGTATTGAATACACCGTGTTTCGAAGTCTGCCAGATGGGCAGAAACCCCACTTGTGAAATTCATTTGGTGAAAGCATAAATATTGTTTTTTTTTTCGGCAGCCGCCCTCTTTTTTATTTTGAGGGCGTGGCTTAAGCTTATGGCGTGTTCAGCGATCGCGCCACCTCGGTATGTTTATTAGATTGCGGAAGATACAACTGTAGATCTAAAGACCTATTTAAAAAGCTAGACGCTGTCATTATTATACTTGAATAGAAAACTTAAAAAAAGAATCACGCAATTGCGATTAGTTATACAAATGAACGCATTGACTGAGACGATAAGAAACGTAGACGCTTTGAGATTATCAGAGCGAGCCTCCCTCGCAACAACAAATGATTTTGGCGCCTAGGTTCAAAAAGTATCTAAGCTTTGACATGACATTTACCCATCACTGTCGGCTATCGATATCGATACCTAAGATGTACCAGATGTTGAAAAATTTAAGTGAATGGAAGAAAAGATGAAATGTGATCGCCACGCGCAATATTTTATATATGTATATGGAGATGTATTATCAAGTCGGCCCTGAACTTAGAATAAAAGTAGTTAGCCCCCAATAGTGGAAAAGTTTTTGTGGGCTGATAAAAGCAACAGTTGGCAGCGGGAGAGAGCAAACGAGAAAGAGGCATTGACAAATAGAAAGGGAGGAGGTGCCACCCGCAATGCAAAAGCGATTGACAAGTCAGCCGGCGATAACGATTACATGTTTACGAGTACGCCGAGTGTTGATTGTATTCGCTTTTGTTACATTATTAATTAAAACTGTGGCTTTTGAGTGCGCCGGGAGTTGTAGGAGCAGCTTATCAAAGTCCGCGGGCTAAATCTTATCTGTCCAGCCGTTTAGTACGTTGCGATTACGCCGATTGCGCAACAATTTGATTGTAGAGAGAATCTGAAACTGCAGCGAATAACAGCACATTAGAGTTATCAGTTTGAGTTAGGACGCGGGTGACGCTTACAGCTCTTTTGTCCGGAGATTTCTCGCCTTCCCGGGGTTCCAGTGTCAGTTGTATTGTTCCAGATTGGTGACAAACAGTTTCGTCTCTCGTTTCCAGTCGGTTCATTCATAATAAATTCCAAGTTGTAAAATGTTCGCCCTCCGCCGCACCGCCGCCATGATGACGTCGGTCCACCGGCAGAAGCAGTTCACCCAGGCAGTTTTCCGGGCCAATTTCGCCATCAGCGCAGCGGTAGGTTCCCATTGTATCCTCCTCTGTTGCCCTAAATCTCTCTGCTTTTCGAATTTTGGAATAGGGTTGGTCGATATTTTGAGGTTTTTAAGCTTAAACATTATCATACCATTTTGGTTTTTTAAAACCAAATTTAAAAAAAAAAAAACAATATAGGAAATTCTCTTTTCCTCGATTTGCTTATTTTTCATCTATTCCAATCGACCCACCCTATCCCAGCCGGATCAAAGTTCACTTTGTCTTGACCGGCTGTCACTTTATCATCTTCATTTAAGTTTCGCCTGTTTCGCCTCTGTCTAGGAACCCAGTACGCACAAGATATCCATGGATAATGAAAGGAGTTCCATGAGTGTCGCGAGTGAGGTGAATGCCCTTTACACGCCAGATTTCAGACACAAATTCATTTTTCGCCTAGCTAATAAGATCATTGTTTACCACCCTCAAGCACTCATTTGCGGTATGCTCTCCCGAACAGATGGCCCAGAAGATCCCTGCCGGACCCGTGGTGGATGTCCTCGGTGACGAGATGACCCGCATCATCTGGGACTCGATCAAGAATAAGCTGATCCTGCCCTTCCTGGACATTGAGCTGCACACCTACGATCTGGGTATTGAGTACCGCGACAAGACTGAGGACCAGGTGACCATTGACTGCGCCGAGGCCATCAAGAAGTACAATGTGGGCATCAAGTGTGCCACCATCACGCCTGACGAGAAGCGCGTGGAGGAGTTCAAGCTGAAGAAGATGTGGAAGTCGCCCAACGGCACCATCCGTAACATTTTGGGAGGCACCGTCTTCCGTGAGGCCATCATCTGCAAGAATGTTCCCCGTTTGGTCACCGGCTGGCAGAAGCCCATCGTCATCGGCCGCCACGCCCACGCCGATCAATACAAGGCCGTGGACTACGTGGTTCCCGGTCCCGGCAGGCTCACTCTCACCTGGAAGGGTGCTGATGGTCAGGTGATCGACGAAGTGATCAATGACTTCAAGGGCCCCGGCGTCGCCCTGGGCATGTTCAACACGGACGACTCCATCGTGGACTTTGCCCACGCCTCGTTCAAGTTCGCCCTGGACCGCCAGCTGCCGCTGTACATGAGCACCAAGAACACCATTCTGAAGAAGTACGATGGCCGCTTCAAGGACATCTTCGAGGACCTGTACAACAAGCAGTACAAGAAGGAGTACGAGGCGGCGGGCATCTGGTATGAGCACCGCCTCATCGACGACATGGTGGCCTATGCCATGAAGTCGGAGGGTGGCTTCGTGTGGGCCTGCAAGAACTACGACGGTGATGTGCAGTCCGACTCCGTCGCCCAGGGATACGGCTCTCTGGGTCTGATGACCTCCGTCCTGCTCTGCCCCGATGGCAAGACCGTGGAGGCTGAGGCCGCTCACGGAACAGTGACGCGTCACTTCCGCTTCTACCAGCAGGGCAAGGAGACCTCCACCAACCCCATTGCGTCGATCTTCGCCTGGACCCGGGGCTTGCTGCACCGCGCCAAGCTGGACAGCAACGAGCCGCTGAAGCAGTTCGCCGAGACCCTGGAGCAGGTGTGCATCGACACCATCGAGGGCGGCGCCATGACCAAGGATTTGGCCATTTGCATCAAGGGCAGCATTAGTGCCGTGGAGCGCAAGGACTACCAGGAGACGTTCGAGTTCATGGACACGCTGGCCAAGAACCTGGAGGCCGCCCTGGCCAAGAACGCTGCCGCCGCCAAGTGACTAGCCGGCGCACAGTCCGAGCCGCAGGCCTCGCACCTCTAGGGAACCGCTCAGCGAAGCCTCGTCCTCGTCACCATATTCACTATATTTCCATTCGTTTATGTAGATGTGTGTGTGTCCTAGGCTAACAACATGTTTTACTCTGTTTCATTGTCTCTGCGAGACGCAAAAAAACCCCCGATTTCCCCTTAACGTCTAACGGAAAAGAAATTTCAAATAAATGTATTTTTATACCGGACTCGAGAGGTCTTTAACCCAGTCGAGGGTGGGCCTCGTTGCGATGGCCGGTCCACTTGTATGGCTTCCTCTGGGCCCGGGTTTATTGGATTTGCCAGCGATGTGGCCACAGTCGTGTTTCAACACTTGGCGGTGCTAGACGGCGAATCAGGATCCACTATCAGGAGCCAGAAACTATCGATGCTAGCCGAAGTGTTGGGCTATGGCTACCTGCTGGCCTACGTGATCTGCCTGCTCTGCTGGCCAGGAGCGGCATATCCGGCCAGCAGTAGCTATCGGGATCTGGACATCTGCAATCACTGGGACGGGCGGCGGCACTTCCTCGAGCTGGGCAGTCCGGCCGGAGAGCTGCACGCCCGGAATGTGACCACCACCGCCTATAGGGTGAGTGTTTCCGCCACCGGTTGTCGTAGGGATTGGGTCAGCAACTTTGGATTACGAAACAGAGCTCGCCGCTGGGCTTCAAGAACGGTGCGGCGGCTGGGGATGTGTGGTACCAGTGCAGCCTGGAGCTGGTCACCTGCGCCGAGTGCGTCATCCGGGTGGCCTTCACCTATGCGAACTTCTCGAAGAGCTGCGGCAACACGGGTGGCAAGTCCAGCATGTGTCCCTGCGAGCACATCCAGTTCTCGGAGCCGCCCTACGACTCCACCATTTCCGGTCAGGAGTTCTGCGGGGATGGCAAGGTGTTCCGGAGCAAAACTAGGACACTGCAGTTGAAGTTCTTCTACAGGACCAACAATGCCCACGTCTTTTCGCTGCAATACTTCTCAGAGCGTAAGATCAAGGGATTACTTAGTTTAATGCCAGGTAGTTATAACTAGGTTTTCCCCGGATCAGGCAACGTACGGATTGTGAGTGGTTCCCCCAAGCAGAGCATTGTGGGCAACGGGAGTGCCAAGTACTCATCACCGCAGGTGATCTCCACGCCGTACTTCCCCATGCCATATCCCCGCGACTACGGCATCGAGCACATCCTCACCTGCGAGGCGGACAACTGCCAGGTGCGGCTGGACTTCACCGACTTCCAGCTCGGCCTCGCCTCCACCCTGGAGATCTTCGACTCCAATGGCCAGATGCTGGACTCCTATACGGGCGAGCACTTCCGTCCGCCCATCACGGTGAGCAGCGGAAAGTCGCTACTCCTGCAGTTCCGTGGAAATTCGGCCACCGGAGTGGGTTTCCGGGCCGAAGTTAGCTTTGTGTCGTCCAAGCAGCTAAAGGACGAACGACTGGTGCCCTACACAGGTGAGTGGGTGGATTTTATTACACTGAACAGAAGACTCTGTTGGAAAGTCATGTTTACTATTTATACTATGTACAAATACATAATTCAATATATAGTTGTCACCTTACTTTATGACTAATCAATCCAAAAAACATATTCACAAAATAGTTACATACATAAGAGGTTAAGAAAAGATTATATTTATTTTCACTGTTAATGAGTATATGATGAAGATTTATAATACCCATATGCTAACGATTTTTATTTAGTTACAAAACCATTTCTAATCCTTTCGAAAAAAAAATTTGAATTTTACCACTTTAGATTTTGTAGATTTTCATTAAAGTAAATTCAGTTTGATCGAACAGAAAACTGTAACAAGGGCTAACGCTTGATTTCTGTGTAGGAGTAGGGACGTTGGAATAATTGCCGGATTAGCCGGACACTTGAAGGTCTGCAGGCAATCGTCGTATTGATTTTGGCAGAGGAAGTGGGCGGTGTGCTCTTCACAAATATCAATGTCAATGCAAGGCGTTGAAGTGGAAACTGGGTGACACTCTGGTTAGGTCTGGTTTGGTAAGACAATCGATTTCTTGGATTGGATCATTGCCCAACTGGTGGTGGGGCAACCGCTCATATGTAAGGGGTTGAATTAGTTATGCATTGTTGAATAAGGTTGGACCGTTTATAACACAAGCCATTTGGATTAGTTTAGTGGATCACATAATGTAACAAAGCAAAGCTGAATGCAAGAGTAATTAAATGCCACCAATTATGTCCTTCTCCAACTAAGTTTCGAAATTAAATGGACAAAGAACTCAGCCTAAACCCAAACATATAAATAATAAAAATAAAAAAAATTTTAGATTGCGGTGGAATGGTCACCGGACCCGGTGGGGCCATCACCATGATGAACATGATCGAAAATGCCACGGACGTGCGGCTCTTCGATTGCATCTGGATAATCAAGCCCGGCAACAACTACATGATGATGAAGACACACATCTCACTGCGGGTGGACGACTTCTACGGAATGGCCGCCCGCTCCGAGCTCACCATCCGGCAGGGCACCACCTCCGATGCCGTGGAGATCGAGAACGTGATGTGGCCGAACAATGGACTGAGCAAGGAGAGCCATGTGGCGCCCATCCTCAATGGCTACTACATCCGCCTGCGCGGGGTATTCGGGATGTCCTCCAAACTGGCCATCGTTTATAGTGTGTTCAACTACTTGAGTGAGTACGAACCTAAATTGGGATTATTGAAGGGGGGATAGGGTTTTCAAGACCATAAAAAGAGACGATTTCGTGGTTTTGTTTTTTAAAATATGGACAATGTTGTACAATTTAATTTTAATACACTTTAATTGTTGTCATTTTAAATTTCTTGAAACAAAAAGGTGCATCCAAAAATATTCCCATTTGAAATTGAAAAATTCGATACTTTCTAATCAATTTAATGTTTTTAATTTAAAAAAATCTAAAATTAAAATAAAAGTATTGTGATGTTCTGTTTATTGTTGTATAGAAACTATGTACAAAATTTCAAAACTAATCGGTTCGGCGCTAGCATGCTTACCGACTCTAGAAATGGCATTCGTTAAAAAATAAATTTAAATTTATCATAAAAACGCGATTGTCGCTTCCTCGTTTGTAACGTCTGTAATCTCAAAATACTGTAGAAAAAAATAAAAAAAATAATAATAATAATTGTAAAAACGCCACCCTTCTAAGTTAAAAAATAATACAATAATATTTAATATATTTCAAATACCTAGATTGCTACATTGGCTCGGAGTTTTTGTGCGGGAACAACCACTGCATCTCGATTCGACTCCACTGCGATGGCTTCGACCACTGTGGGGATGGCTCAGATGAGCCGGATTCCTGCGAGGAGGACTGGGCCCACCTGCACCACGATCGCCGCTGGTACTCCCACAAGCCCAACTACTACTTCCCCAAGATAGACCAATATCCGGATCTCAAGACGGCTACGGGCATCTTTATTATCAGTACGCTGGGAATCTTTGGTGTGCTTTCCGGCTGGATGGTGATCCTGTACAGGATGGGGGTGCGAGCACGTCACCAGCGGGAACTGCAGAGTCACCTGCAGACGATCAGTGAGCTGCTGGATCGCCAGGACGAGGATCGCACGCCAGATGAGCCGCCGAGCTACGAGGCACCGCCCGATTACGAGGAGGTGATCAAGGTGGGAATGCAGCAGGAGCTGAGGGAACCACGTCGCCAGCGTCGCGCCCGTCGTCCTCCGCCGCGTGATCGGAGCTGCAGTCGCGCCGCCAGCAACTGCACCATGCAATCCGTGCTTCCAATCCATCACAGCTGCAGCCTGGAGCGGGATCAGGAGCAGCCCAGTACATCGGCAGCGGCCATGACCCATGCGGTGGCTGCCACGGACACCACCGAGGATGCCGAACAGGTCCAGACGATGGCCCAGCGGATGCTCCTCGCCACGGCTATATGTGGTAGGTTTAGGTCTACCTCTACCCCAATCCCGCCCTGCAGTCGCTAACTTACCCACAGAGTCCCACTTGCAGGCACTGCAGGCACGTCTCTCCCGGCAGCAAAGGAACCTGGGGTCCGGCTCCAATCCGTGGGGATTTCAGCGTGCCCGCCACCGCTATCCGCTGGGGGTGAACTACCCCCAGCCGACGGATGCGGGTCAGGGTCAGGGTCAGCCACGACGCCCGGTAGCACGGCGGATGACTGCACCCAGGGAGGCGACTCCCTCAGCATTTCACTCACTATAGGCCTGCCCTCCACGTCGGCCGGGAGTCCGGTGACCACCGACCAGAACCAGAATCAGAATCCAAACCAGAGTCAAGAGCAGACCAGTAGCAACTGCACGGAGCACACGTACCTAAAGCGATCGTGGTTGGTGGTGCAACAGGTGCCACCTGGCAGGGGCTACAGGGTCCAGCGACTGCGACACACCTTCTCCTCGCCCGAGGCCTTCACTGGCGACGAACTGCATCTTCCGTATCCGGATTTCCTGAGCTATGGCACCAATCTTCCACACGAGCGGAGTAGCAGCAACTTCGGCTCGGAGCTGTCGCGGGATCCATCCAGTTATAGTGTGGGAAAGCGAGCTCGCTTAAATGCCGAGGAGGCAAGTGAGTCGGACACAATCACCAGGGATGTGGAGTACTCCAACCAGACCCTCCAGTCCCATGTGATGGAGGAGAGCCCGCCGAACCACAGCGAGAGTGAGAGCGAAGGGGAGCAGCAGGTGTCCTGCTTTGGAGCCGTAGCCCAGCGACCCAAGCGACGACATCGAGCTCATGTGAGGAGTCGATCCTTTAGCAACACGGCAGGTGGCAGTGCCGGCAGAAGGCGGCTCATCCAGCGCAGTTCATCTGCTGATCTTCTCATGAACTATGCGGCCATGGTGGTATCGACGCCACAGAAAAGATCGGAGGGAGTGCAGCGGTTGTTCTTCATCTAATTTGGGGAATGGGGAATGTCCGTGGGAACGATAGTATTAAAGCCTAGTGTGATTCTGGTCGGGATCTGGTCACAGTTAAGCAGACCTGTTCCTCATTCGAATGTGATTGACAAGATGATTAGCAATACAATATTTTTGGCTGTTCTCAAACATTTTGAGGAAATTCTTTATAAATTAAATTATTATGTTTAATATTAGTCAAAATTTAAATTGGGAACAGGTCTCAAAGTATATACATATACCTATTATATTATATATTATATATATCCCCTTATAGCCTAAAAAGAATAAATAACTACAGATAGTTAGCATTTTAGTGGTTACTTTATTCATTTTATAGCGTTATACGTGTAGCATTGGCCAGTGCGAGCCAAACTGTGCCCCGAATCAAGTTAAAACAACAAAGTACTGCCAAGATCGCCTCGAACCCACCCAAGTGATCAGGGGCACACCTTGGCAGGCACTGGCCTTGGGGTGCCTCAAAGGTGCAAAACAATAAAAGTCTATTACGTTACGCGTATATATGGAAATCAAAATGCACATTTGTATATGGATATATAGACGAATATGATAAATAATACCAAGGCGTAGTCAATGCCGTAGGACTGCCTGCTATCCAGAGCCACCTAGGCCACCGTATCTGTAGTACCTATTCCGCAGATCAGTAGATCCTACTGCTGCAGCTGCTGTTTGAGATTCTCGGCCAGCGACTTGCCGGTGTCCAGGGGCACCACTATATTGCGCAGACTGTCGATGCTGTTGCGCAGTTTGGTGGCCTGGAATTTGCTGGGCAACTTCGGTGACCCACCCACCGAGGCAAATGCAAACGTCTTGTACTCCTGGGCAGCCAATGGGGGCGGGGGCGTGGGCGGTACCAAAAGAATCGGATTTAGTATGTTATATACACGTGGTTTTATTTGCAACGCAAAATATCAATTAAATCATAAGCAAGCCAGGGGATTCAGGGAGCTAACAGAAACAGCAGGAAGGTTCAATGCCTGTATAAAGTCGACTAAATAAAGATTCTTCATGTATGTCATAATGTGAGAGTGGGCGCGTATATAAATTAAACAATGGTAAGTAATGGTTGGGTATGCCAGAGAGCTTAACGTATTTCGACAACATTCCTGGAGCTCAGCTCTCGGGCTGACTACCCTTGTCCTAATTATAGAAATTAAACATACAAAAATTAAAAATAAGCTGTGCATGTTTCGGTCATGATGATGGTGGGGGCGGATCAGTGGTCCCTAAGTTACCTGATTGCCGCTGGGCGAGCTGGCCTCGCTGAGGGTGGTGGGCGCCTGGCCCATGTACGACTGGAATGTGGGCGTGGGTCCGCCACTGCCATTATCCCGATGGCCGCCACGGGTGGTCACCTTCTCCTGCAGCGAGTTGAAGGTCTTCGAGAGCCAGGGCTGCCAGCTGTTGCGGTTGGTCTGCATCTCACTGAGCGTGTTACTGAGCTGATGGTTTAGGTCCTGGTTCTTGCACTCCGCCTCCACTTGGGCCAGCTTAGCCTGGGCCAGCTCCAGCTCCAGTTCGCGGATGCGCTGCGAGGCGGCGTTGAGCGGATCTAGGGGACCCAGTGGATGCTCATTGGCATTCCGCATGGCATCGGTTTGCCGCCTGGCGTTTCCACCATCCGTCTTGGCATTGTCGTTGCCGGCGTCGATCTTCTGCTGGCAATCCCGGCAATTGGAAACCATGTGCTGGAAGGCAAGGGATGAATAAATATATTCTTGTGCTAGCGGATGTTAATTGCTTGATCACTCACCATCATCTTGCCCAGAGTCTCGCTGAGCGTGTTCATGTCCTGCTCCTGGCGCTGAATGATCTGCTTGTATTCCTGTATAATGCCCGTGTGCTTCTTCTCCTTCTCCACAGCTCGCTCCTTGGCGGAGGTGAGCTGCTTATTGAGCGCATCAATCTCCGCCTGCATCTTGCGCCTCTCCTCGCCGAAGCGATTCTCGTAGATCTGTGCCTCCTTCTCCAGACGCTCTTTGTGCTGCTTCTTCAGCAGGAACTCCTCTTCGTACTGCTTTAGCTTTTTAATCTTACGCTCGCAGGCCTGTTTCATCACCTTGCGCGCCTGGCTGGAACTGCGGCATTTCTTGGGCAACGTCACCCGGAAATACTTGAGAATTCCCTCAAAGTCAAGCTGCCTCAGATCGGACTCACAGATCGACAAAAGGGTCACGGCCACCTGGAAGAGCACAGGCAGTCCGTCCAGCAGAAAGACATCCAGCACGTGGAACACAAAGCACAGCGGGAAACGTGCTGTGTACAAGGTTAGGAACCACTGCGAGGCGTACATGTGCGTCTCAATGCCGCAGGCTGTAAAATGTTCATGCAGCTTGGGCAACTGATCCTTGATCAACCGCTCCAGTTGGTAGAGGCGCAGATAAAGGACCTCGAAACCCGCCTTGTAGAGATCACGGAGGCCGTAGTCGTACATCAGGGCCACCAGAACACAGAATGCATCCTCCTCAGGCATCTGAAAAAGGAGTTTTATAAAAAGTTGTTTTGTTTAACAGATAGTATCTCGACTGTTTTGATAACTCACATGAAGCAGCAGACTGGCTGCAATGAAACTCAAGCCCTGGCAATAGCCGACCTCGCTGTCGTGCACCGCATACGCCTTGGATACCTTGAAGAGAGCATCCTGACCAGAGCCACCAGTCTCCTTGAAGCATTTGTGCGCCGGGAAAGTGCGATGGATGTCCCGCTGGATAACGGTCTCACACTTGGTTTCCTGCAAGAAAATATGCCATTACTTTTGACCCTATGATAGAGATAGCTAGCCAGCGCACTTTGGTGATCAGGATCTTGTACATGTCGTTCATCTCCAGCCTGCCCTCGACGTTGGCCAGCTTCTGCCAGATCTTCTCGCGTAGCGCCTCTGGAACACCGAGCCGAACCAAGGGCGCCAGGTTCTTGGGTCTCTTCTCGCCATCCCACTCCCGCAGAATGGGATCCCACTCGTCCAGCGTGTCCTGCGAGCAATCCTTGGACACCTCACCAGTGCCACTGAGCAGCGGCTCATCTCCATCGCTGCTGTAGTCCGATGGACAGTCATCCTCAATAGAGGCAATGGACGAACTGCGCACGATGCGCGATAGATTATTCATGCCCATCTTGAGCAGCGAGGAAGAGCTCTGCTGGTGACCCGGCTGCTCCGTGATCTCCTCCGAGGGATCAATACTGCTCACCTTCCAGTTGGACTCGTCTGTACGCTTGAGGTGCAAATAGAAGCGCAGCGTCATCGGGCGTTTGGACATGAAGTGATCCATAATGCGCATTTCGCTGGCCGACTGAATGGTCACTGGGGTCTCGATGACGAACCTGACTGGTTCCTGAATGCGACGCATCACTATGTCCACGGCCACGGTGAGATTGGTCTTGGACGACTCAAGATTCAACTGCTCAAAGGCCTTCTCCTGCGCCTTCCACTCAGCTCGAATGGTATAGGGCCAGGTAGAGTTGGGCTGCGAGTTGCTGTCTGAGTCGGTAATAACTCCACCAGTTCCACCTGGAGGTTGGTATCCCATGCTGTGCATGTCAATGAGATGCATGTCCTTTTGGACGACTAGTTTACCAGGCGCCACCAGGACTCCAAAACATCGTTCGATATGCAATGGTTGAAGGATATTCGACGGAGTCTGTTTGACTGTGATGCACACCTCCTTATCGGTGTTCGCCCGCAGCTTAAAGCATCCCCTATCACGCGGAACTGCGGCATACGAGTTCTTGGCCACCCTCTCGCGAATCTCCAAGGACACTATGAACTCATAGCCGGCCGAGTTCAGAGGATTCCCGCTCACATCAGAGGTCACCGAATTGGCCATGTCCACGGCCGAGTTGAGGCTGCAACTCATGCTGGGCGGATACGTCTGGAATGCCTTCTGGAAGCAGGCTGCGGGCAGAGATTTAAAATTAACCAGATGAAATCACTCTCAGGCGAAGTTGATGATCTGACTCACCGCTGACTTGATTGACCGCCTCGGGAATATGGCACCGGAATACATGGCACTGGAACAATGCGTCGCCATGCAGCCAAGTGAATGCGAAGCACCCATTCTCCACCGTGTCCACTGGTCCACGATAGTAAAGGATAATGCTGGATATCTCGTAGGTGGCAATAATCGTATTGCTCTCCGCATCGTGGAGGCTGTAAGAGGAGCATGATGTCGCTCAGTGAGTCACTCTAGGGGCAGTAACAACTTTACTCACACCACCAGGCCATCAGAGCAGTTGGGAATGCTCACGGTTATCTTCAGGCCCACCGATTTGGAGCCACTGTTCAGCTCGCCCATGATGCGATACACCTCCGTCTCGGATTTGGGGGTATTGATGTTGGCGGCGCCCAGGTAAGTGACTCCGGAGAATATAGTGCAGCCCTGATCGATCTCAGAAACTGTGGGAATAAGCCAGAATTACAAAACTCAGATATTTGTTAACAATTAAAAATCGAAGTATACAAAAACAATAATTAAACTATCTGGAAATCAAGAATTTATAGTTTTGAAAGAATATTTAGTTAACAAAATTAGAAATCATATTTGTGTTTATCATGTCAAGAAAGAGATTTGAAATCACTTTAGCTACAACTCCAACAACAATTTGGAAATACACAATATTTTATATTGTGTAAAATATTAAAACAATATATTAAGCGCAAGAGTGTTAATTTAAACCAGTAGTCTTTGAGGTTATTGTTACTTGTGTTGAGCACACTTCAGAAAAAGCACTCTGAAGTTTACTACAAGAGCCCTACTCACTTGGAAACCCAAGTATTTGTAGTTTCCAGAGATTTTAAGTATTCTTTCTCGATTTAAGGTCACTCACCCTCCTCGTCGGTAGTGTCGCCCTTCTCCGGCTTCATGGCATCCTGCTTCTCCTCGATGCAGGCGGGACTGGCGTCTATGCAGTCGTAGAACACCGAGTGGCCCACTCTGTTGGAGCTGGAGGCGTCGTCCAGGGTCTCCTCGCTCTTGGGCGAGAACAGGGTGCAGGGGAAACGCATCTCGGGATCGGCAGATCTGCCGCCGGATCCCGTGAGCGGCAAGGTCAGGGACTTTTGCTGGTGATTTGGGACGCGTTGCGCGATCTTCTCCCCAGCGGCTGCTGCAAAATATTTTAATTGACAATTACGCGGCGAGCAATAACAAGAAACGAATTGAGGGGAATTTTTTTTTAGGAAAGTATTATTATTCCGTTTGTTTGTCGATTGTTTCCATGACAGCAAAGCACTGCGGCCGATAAGATTGCAGCTGGTTGGGCTTAGCTATCGAATGGTGTTTTCAATTTTTGGAGCGACGATGTGTACACAGCTGGCGCTGGGCAGCGACTGAGTTTAGTTCATGGGACCTAGGGAAACCGATTCCACCCTCTCAGTTGTGGTTTCGTACTCACCTACGCCGCGTTCCAGCTCCAGATCTTTGAGCGCGTCAGTCATCTCGTGCTGCATGTCGCTCAGGTTGCGATTGTGGGCCATGTCCAGTGTGGGCGAGCGATCTCCCCCAGCTTCGGGGGAGGAAAGGGCCAGAGCACTCAGCGAGGTAGGTGGTTTGCTGCCCTCCTCCGGTTTAATCCTCTCCTGGCTGACCACCTGCTTCACCTGCTCGATGGGACTGGCCACATTGCTGTCGGTCACTATTTCGTACTCCCCGCTGGTCGTTATCGAGGATTCCGAGGACTTGGTGCTCAGATTATCATCCATTCCGAACACTCAAGGTTGCCTTAGGTCCGGGGACTCCAAAATGGGTTGCTCTTTGTTGTGTGCGAGCTCCTGATTTTCTTTATTCGTAAGCCCTATGAATTGCGCATTTTCAGGGCAGGTAAACAAATCAATTTCTGCTCCAAGGCCGCGGCACTGGCTTTTTATAGATTTCGGTTTTAATTTGTCCAATTTTCAGCGGAGTCGCATTGTTTGGCTTGGTTCCGCCGTAAATCGATGACGAATCGGTACGGTTTTGTTGGGCTTTTGGGGGCGTACACACACGCGCATGTATGTCACACAGCGCCCACTTCGCGGGGGGCGTGTCGAAAGGGGGTGGTGGGCGGTGGGGTCGGCGGGGTCAACAGTTAGCTGCCGTCGCCTTGCAATCGGATTCCTATGGATTTTTCGTTAACCGCAGTGGCTGCAAGTGCTTTCTAAAAATACTTTGGTTTCTATTTAATAACCAACACTCTGCAAAACTGTGTCACATTGTTTAAACCCCGTTTTGCTACGTTTTTTACGGGCTTTTCAGCAATTTTTATGCAATTTTCCCTCTGTTTTGTTTACATATTTTTCAACTAGTGCTGGTCAGGAGCAGGTCGATATTTGGGCATGCCTATCGATAGGGAACAGCTGTTCAGCGTTGTACAGTACTAGTCGCTACTGGTGTTGGCAAGCAACTATTTTCAAAAGGATCGATTACTACCAGTACTTTTAGAAGGGTACTCGAAAAAATTGATTTGGAAATATACAAGTTTATTATAATAATATGGTTCAATACATGAATTAATCAAAACAGATTAAATTTGTATTTATTTATTTATATATATTTTTTAAAAACCATAAAATGTTTTTTTTATAATCCATATAAAATCTAGCTGCTTAAGTAAAGATCCCTAAAAAAGATCCCTAACATTGAAAAAATAATTGGAACGCAAAATAACTTTATTCCAAATTAAAGGAAATGTTGAGCTCGAGTTAATTTTATCGAACTAGTGTCATCACTCTCTTCATAACACCTTGAGCATTTGCCAACACTGCCCTACAACACTACCGCGCGTGCAGGAAAAAAACGTGCGCGTTAATTCGTCGCATTTTGTGTAGATAATTCCTAAATTCCGGATACTCCTGCCTCCGAATCCGATTCCCAAAAGATGTGGCCGCGATTTGGCATCAAGATTGGCAACAGCACGCTCTGCATCGCCCACGTGCGAGCAGACGGCAAGGCGGAGGTGATCGCCAACAAACAGGGCGACCGTGTGTCCCAAGCGTGCCTTCTCTGGGACGGAGTTTCGGAGATTGAATGTGGCCTCACGGCCAAACAGAAAATGGGAACGCGCCCGCGCCAGGCGGTAGCCCACAGCTTCCAACTACTGCAGCCCAAGGAGCAGCTAACGGAAGAGAAACTGGCCAGTGCGCTGAAGGAGATCCCCTGCGACTTTGACAAGGAGGAGTTGGTGTTCCGCATGGAGCACACGGTGCCCTCTGAAAAGGAGGACCAGGACGACCGGGTGGTGACCAAGGAACTGAGCGCCTTCCAGGTGACGGTCGAGCTGCTACGCGCCGAACTGGAGCTGGCCCATCAATACCACACGGACGGGGAACAGGCGCCCATCGCCGTCCTCTCCATACCCAGCTACTATCCCGCCCCGGCCTACAAACTGTTAGCAGAAGCTGCTCAAACCGCCGGCTTCCACGTGGCCCAGATCATTGCCGAGCCCACGGCTGCTGTTTTGGGTTACAGCATCGGCGAGGAGCAAGCGGAGCAGCGCCGCCATGTGGTGACCATCAAATGCGGTGGCCTCTACAGCGACATTGCCTTCTATGCCGTGCAAAACGGCCTGTTCGTTCAGTTGGCCACCTTCGGACCCTTCCCCATCGGTGGCCGCCAGTTCACCGAGGCCTTGGTGCAGTTCATCTGCGAGGAGTTCCGCCGCAAGTACAAGCTGGATCCCCACGAATCGCGTCGCTCGATTGCCAAGATCCGCACCGCCGCCGCCAACTGCAAGCACATCTTGACCACGATGCCCTCCACGCAACTGTATATCGACTCCCTGATGGACGGCGTCGACTTCAATGCCCAGATGTCGCGCGCTCGTTTTGAGAGTCTTATCCAGCCGGTGATCAACAATCTTATCCAGCAACTTAGCGAGTGTGTGGAGCAGGCGCAAAAAGAGCACCCCAGTTTGAGTAGCATCGATGACATTGTGCTCCTCGGAGCCACCATGCAGATCCCAAAGCTTCAGGCGGCTGTAGGCGCTCGTTTTCCGGACGCCAAGCTGCACAACAGCCATTCGGCGGACGAGGTGGTGGCCATCGGCTGCGCGCGCCAGGCAGTGTGCTTGATTGAACCGCTCGAACAGCAGCTCCACAAGGAAGACAACTGTGTGGTGTCCGAGGATGATCTGTTTATCTGGCATGGCAATGACGAGGCCAACGCCAAGCTGGTCCTCGGAAGAGGTAGCGTTCTGCCTGCCAAGATACGGATATCACTGCCTCAATCTGAGGAGGGCAAGGGTGCTGAGGGAGACAATGGGGCCGCTTCTTTTAAGTTGCGCACCGGAGAGAGCGAAATACTGGCCCGCCTGCCGAACAGCACGACGCCGGAGGATGGACTCTACCAGCTGGAGGTCGAGGTGGACCTGGACGATAAGGACGGCAACGTGGTGCCGCTGGTGCGACTGCGCTGCATGTGAAAGCCGGACTTCGACCCGGAATCGGTGCGCTGTCGCCTAGTCTATTTATTGTTGCTAGCCTAATGATTACAAAACAAACTCAAAATAAAAATAAATCCGAAAGCGGCAAACGAAAAACGAAAAGAAAGTTTAAATACCATGTTTAATTTTATCTTAGTTATGTTTAAAACTGCAAAGTGGCAGCTTTATGGCTACGCTCCAGTTTACGCAGAAATTCCTCAAAAACCACAACGCCCTTGAACATGCTGGTCTTCTTGTGGTCCTTGATCCGGCTCTTGTCTTCCGGCGCCTCCATGTAGCTCTTGCTCTTGTCATCGAAAGCGTTGATCTCGTGGAGCAGCTGGGTGATCGTGGGCACTGTGGTGGGATCGAACTTGGCCACAGCGCTCACACTGAATGGCACACAAACCTTTCCCGTTGCCGGATGAATGCAGAATGGGGCCTTCAGCAAATGGTTGAATCCCCTGGTGACGTTGATGTCCAAACGTGGATAGAGCAGTCCCAACTGGACTTCTTGCACTATGTTCTTGAGCTTCCGACTCCAGGCGTTTGCCGTGGACGTTCTCATGGAATTGGCATACTTGATAAAGCTCTCCCACACGAGTCGCGAGTGTGCTCCGTCCTCTACATTCTTTTGCAGATACGATTCCAGATCGCCTCGGGCCGCATCATCGTGGACCATGTTTAAGAGTTTGCTAACTCCCTTGGGCGTACCAAACAAATTCTGATCCTCCAGTATAATCTCCTCAAACATGGGCTCTGCTATCTTCAGGGCTCGCTTTAAACTATGATGCGGGCGATCTCCCATTGGACACCTGGGTGAATTGCTGCCCGAGAAGTTGACATAAGAAATGATGTTCAGGTACTCCGCCACGGCAAAGCGACCACGTCCGTCCAAGTGACGAGCTTGGTGGTCGCATACCCAGCAATGAATACCACGACGTCCAGAGAAAATCCAGATAATGTGCTCAAAGCCGAAATCCTCGCGCAGTGCTACATCCAAAATTCTCGCAGCCAGCACCATGAACTTCCAGCACTTAAGGCACACGCCTGCTCCCGAGCAACAGGTGCGCACATCATCGTAATCCGTCATGTCAATATCAAAGACCAGCTCACGTTGCACGGGCGTTAATCCGCCTGGAACAGTACGATGGTTCTTGGGTCTGGTGTGCATCACTGGTCCTATATCGATCTTAACTGGACTCCTCGAACAGATCTCCTTTTCCAACTCGGCCTGGCTTTCAAAGCATAGGTAACGAATGTATATGTCGTCCTGAAGCGTAAAGGATATCTCACGATTGCAGAAGACGCCATCTTCAGCTGAAATGTAAGACAATTAGTGGATAGCTGAATTAGAGAACAGATGGATAGACTTACTCAACCCATAAGAAAGCCAGCGGTAGAAGGGCTGGTGGGGAAAGAGGCGTCTGTAGTACACGGGCAGCATGTCCTGCAGGACCTCAGGATTGTAGGCAGGCACAGCTGACGTTTGCTGCTCCGGAGATTGGTTTTCCTGATCTTGTTCTGGCATTTTTACAGACTGAAAATAAATCATTGGTTTAATCCAAAAACAAAACTGTAACCTGTTAAATTGTTGGGCCATAATTAAATAAAAAGAACATAAACATTCTTGTCGAAACCTTATATTTATATATTTTTTTTTAATTTTTTCTTTTTTAAAGAGAGATACACGATTGGAGCTTAGAGTACTGAAATATATTAACGACATGCAATTGTTAAAAGTACGAGGCTGATTAATTGTCAGTTATGGGTCGAAACAAATCGAATCGAGCTAACACAATGGAATACGGCGGAATGAACCTGGTCAGAGTTCCGATGATGTCCGATGATTGGCTTAGCTTACGATGAAAATGTACGTGTATTATGTATATATATTACTATATAATATATGTGTCTACTTTATGCCTAGGTTAGATCATTGTTGTAGCTTAAGGATTAGAACACGACAGGCGGGCGTTCCCTTGTTCAGCATCATGGAGCAGCGAAGGGAGCCCAGCACTGGAGCAAACAAATCTAGGCCACTGTGAGGCGGATGTCCTGCATCTTGTGCTGCTGCCAGGAGTGCGCCGGCTGCCTGGGCGGCGCCGTATTGTACAGCGTCACCGAGGCGATGTGGCTATTGGGCATAACCTCGAAAATCAGGTCCTGGTAGCCGTAGCAGAAGGTTGAGCCGAACGGATTCGCCGTGTTCGTCGAGCTGGCGCGATGCAGCACCACTGGCCGCTCTGAGGTGGCCAAGGCGCTGCTGATCTCATCCCACTTGGTGTAGGCGCTTATGTTCACATGGTCCTGCTTCGTGGGCGTCACCAGATCGTGGCCACTGTCGCTCATCGACGGGCGATCCGCCTGGAGCAGGAACTGGAACTCGCAGCGATGGTACATGTTGAAGTTGAAGTGCCCCGGATAGTTGGTGTGCAGTATAAACTTCTTGCAGGTCTGCGTCCTGGCATCGAACAGCACATCGATGCCCAGCGTGAAGTAGTTGAAGAAGATGTCGCTCCGCTTGCTCTGCGCTTGCCGATTCACACTCGAGCTGTGTATCTTCATCTTGTCCTCGCTCTTGAAGAAGATGCGATTGGGTGCACCCAAACTCGTGGCCACATCCTCGCAGCTGTCGCCGAAGAGCAGCTCCCGCGTGAAACACTGACGACGTGGCTCCAATGCTCTGCCTGAGCCCTCCGTAAAGAGCTTCAGCTTCAGGCCCTTCGTGTGACCAAAGGAGGTGCGGAGTACTGCGGCCGATTCCAAATACATCTGACGGTGATAGCAGGCCAGCGGGAGAGATGGAGCCCTGTTCTCCGCCACGTTGCTGCCCGCGTACAGGGACATCTTGGAAACGACGGGCGAGGCTCCGTTCAGGAAGACCAGGGAGCCCAGTCCATGGGCGTAGCCCGAGTGCAACTTGTTGTCCACCGGGAAGTAGAAGCTGAGCCCGCGGAAGTGGAGGGCAAAGAGTTGCTTGGCTGCATCGTAAACCCCGGGATGGGTGGCTCCAAAGGAGTGCTCGATTTGCTCGATGCTGGGCAGGACCTCCGGGGAGTTGAAGTAGACGCCGCCATACCGCAGCTTTACCAGCTTCATGTTGAAAACCTCGATGGTCTTCAGGCGCTGGATGACGGGATCGAAGATCAGACGGACGCCATCCTGCGGCAGGTTAATGATGATATCCACGCCTAGGGGATTGGTGTCCGAGTACAGGACCTGGACTCCCTTGATGATGCCCACCTGCGACTGGATGATGGCGATGGCCTGCGAGAAGTGCATGCCCAGCACAAATTCCCAGGCATCGCAGCCCAAGGAATTCTCCGGCAGGATCTCCAGATCTAACATGTTTCCTGTTTTTTTTGTGGGACGATCTTTGTTTGTTATTGTTTGTGTTTTCGAATCACGAACCCACTGACCTTGATATGTGAAATCAGCTGCTGATTGCGAATATATTTAATCGAATATATACGCAATTAATGCCAAAGTGTGTTTAATGCTATTATTTCAGCACTTTCTGTTTCTTCGATTGTTTGCTTGGTGGTTCTGGCTTTTGGTAGTTGACGCTTTTGTTTATTTTTATGCAGTTACGCAACGCTCGTAAAATTGCTTAATATTTGTGAACTTTCAACTACTTGTCGTGCCCTCTGGCACAGCGTTAAGTCGTATTGTTTTCTTCTAAAAATTCGGACAAAGGCGAAATGCGCAGCAGAAAAAATGAGATAATAACAAAATAATGGCGTTGCCGGATCGCCGCAGGCAGCTGATTTGCGAAATCGCAAAACATATGGGGTGTGGTTCGCTCACTACTTTTACATTACTAAGAACTTAATAATTACATTTATTTATGAAATTAGTGAATAACTTAAATATAAAAAATACTTAAGCAAATACTTCATGATATTGCTTCATTTGATCGGCACAGCTGGCAACGCTGGTTAACACGCAACAGCTGTTACTATATTTTCGCGCGCTTTTTATAAGAGTGCCAAATTAAAATTTTAAACTTACTTTTTGGGCTTAACAGGAATGTTTTTGAAGACCCTTCTAGTTTCTCAGATTCTTTAATGTTTGAAACTTCACTTGCACTTCTTTTAGTTATTAAATTGTTTTTCTTTATGAATAAACAAGCGATTTTGTCAGACACCACCAGGAACCTTGCCTGTAAACAACAACTGATTTTCGACGACTGCTAACACTACTCTCCTAACGCTTACCAGCACTAATTAAAAATCTTTTGCGGAATATGAACAATTTTTGTTTATTATGTACTTACAGCCCACTTCTCTCTTAAATCTATATAAGACATATAAAAACATCACTAGCAAACAATTCCATGCTATCAAAGACTTTGGATTCCATCTTCAGGACACACAGAACCGCATTTGGGGCAGCCAAAACTGGCATCCGTTAAAATATTGGCGCTCAGACAATAATAGCAATAGATATGACCACATCCCATGTGGTGAGGCAATGTGGGTCGCTCGCCGCAGAAGGTGCAGGTGGTGCTCAAGGTCATTTGCGGGGCCAGGAGCGCTACACTGTTAACGCCTGCCTCCATCCGACGTCCAGAAATCACCTGTCCAAAGGTCCAACTTTTGAACACCCTTTGGAGCTTACGGAAATTGATTATGGGCAGCACCAGACCAAGGATTTCCTGTTATACAAGATGGTATATATAGTAATACTAGGAGATCTAGGAAACACCCACCATGAATCCTCCCCAGAGCAACTCTCTCGTCAGGTACTTGTAGCCTATGTCCCTCCTCTGATTGTTCCTCAGACTAATGTAGTCCAATCCCAAAAGGTAGTCCACCAGTGTGGGTTTTCGGCCCGTCTTCAGGAACCGAAAGTAGTTGAGGATGTTCAGCACCAGCGCACTGTTCTCCGCCCAAGTTATGGCCTGACTGAACCATTCCACCCGCCTGGTCAGACGCCTTTCCTCCCAGCTTTTCACATAGCCCGGCAGGACAGTCAGCACAAAGTGGAGCACCAACCTAGACACGGTCAGCTTCTCAGCATCATAGGCCAGGACCAGGAGCTGCTGGCCAAAAGTGGAGCATCGCTTGCCAACGGAACCGAACCAAATGGCGGATTGTATTAGCAAATCTAACTCGGGCTGGATTTTGATGAACAAAACAGGCTAAAAAATACAGAAGTTATAAGGAGATCAGGGATAGTGTTATCTATATACTCACTGATATCGCCTGCAAGTTCTCCAGCAGATTGTCGCGTATCAGGCGGGCAATGTCCTTGTTTAGAAAAATAGCATCTATCTGCAAGGTAAACATGTCTCAATTCATCGCTTTTATTCGTCAATGTCCCCGTTCTCAGTTTACCTGATTCACACGTGGTACATATTTGTTTTTCTCCAGCATTTTGTTTATATTTCTGCCTTTTGCTAGCTGATCATTGATATATGTTTTTTTATCTGTACTCTGCCCTTTCTTATCAACAGTTTATTAGAGATGTCAATCAAAATGAAAATATACTGCTACTACTATCGATAAGTCAGTAGTGTTGGATAACTAAAACTAAGAAAGGCGCGTTAATTTAAATTTTCAGCTTAATAAAGATACTTGTTATTTAATTTATCTGAAATAAAAAATAGATTATATATCACGGCTTACGGCAACTCCTGTTTTTTTTTTGGACAGTTAGGAAGCATTTTCGAGCAGCTTTTCAAATACGACTTATGCAATTTCGATGAAAACAAAGCAAAACGAAACGCAGAACTTGTTTGGGAGCCGGAAAATGTGTCTAACGATGTCTGGTAATTTGTGGTAATCTTGCCTATTGCCGTTTACGTCTGGAAACGCATAAACCAGTTGGTCAGTTGAGACATTTGGCCATTTGTTTGAGGAGTACAAGTTCAATGATTGGCCCCGGCTGCAAATATTATGGCCAGTGGTCGGGTGAGTTTTGATTTTATAAAAAGTACATAATTCACACTTTATTACACAATTTACAATTCGTTCGTTCGATCTCTGTAACAAGTTTTACGAGAAGACATAAGTATACATTACAGATTATAGATTATAGATTAAGGATTAAAGTTTACAGTTTACAGTCGAGTGATTGGTAAATTCGTCTGAGCAGGTAGTGACTAAGGATCAGTTGAAAGCGGAAGATACACATAGAAGTTATTCGCTATCACAGAATAAAATACAATATACAAAATGTTAATGAAATGGTCGTGGCCACTCTGAGGTAAGAGTCCTCGAATGTGGTCCCTGGCCAGGGTGTGTGCTGATGTCCTAATTACGAGATATGAAGCTGATTCCATGGTCGATCGATGTGGATGCTTGTCCCTCCTCCTAATCCTCATAATCCTCCTCCAACTTTCGGCTGATGAGCAATTTGGCTAACTCTAGTGCGCAGTGGTTGCTGGCTTAGTAGTGGTGCTCGTGCAGCTCCTCGTGGTGATGCACTGGGGCGGTCTTGTGGACAACGGCGTTGAAGCCATTGTGCTTGTCGGCGGTGTAGTCCACGGTGCGGATGGAACCATCGGGCTCCACCAGCGAGTACTGGCCCTTGACGGTGTCGCCATCGCGGGTCTCGTGCTGCGACTTCACATCTCCGGTGTGGAAGTCATTCACTCCGTACTTGAAGGCGTACTTGGGAGGGGCCTGTCAAATATAATTAGATATTTTAAATGCCAAATTTTTCACGAGATATAATCTTATTTAAAATATATTAAAAATGTACTATACAAATTTAAATGCCTAACAAACCAAAAATATAATCATGCTAGGTTTATCAATTAAGGTTCAACACAAATGGATATAGATATTGCTTTTCTCTTATGAAATCGCCAAATCTTTTCACTTGATTTTAGTGTCTTTAAAAAACTATGTTGGATTTCTCATAAGAAATGTTTGAGCAATAGTTCCAATGTGGTATCCAATATGGTATCATAAATCGAAATAATCATAAAATATGAATAGAATGTAGAATGAATTAAATCTGAAATAATTGCTTTTAATTTGAATTGGGTCATTTTCGACAATTAAATCCTTACTGTTCAAACTCACATAGTAGTCCACATGTTCGTCATGGCCATGGGATTCGTGGGTCTCGTAGTGGGGCTCGGCGTGGTCGATGTGTCCGTGCTCCTCGCCCAGCGAGATGCGCTCAATCTGGTGGTGTCCGTACTCGTGGACGGGCTCCGGCTCGTGGTGGGCCAGGTGCTCGTAGCCGTGGCTCTCCTCGTAGTACTGGTGCTGGTGCTCCAGCGGATAGGCGAGGCTCAGGCACAGGGCCGAGGCGAAGATCAGATACTGAAAGATTAGATAGGCAGGTGCATAATTAACAACGGGGCTCAGACCTCGGCTAATTGTTTCCGTTGACGGAGTGGAGTTGCAAGTGCTGTAATTAGCGGTGGCCAAACTGAGTGGGTGGAAAAGTGAGGGGGATCTGCTGGCCACCGACTGTCGCGATCCATGTAATGTTTGCTTTTAAGGCGAATTTCTGAGGTTTTTCTCTCGCTGGTCTTAATGAATTCATAATCAAGTGTTTGCTGTGGTCGACTGACGCTTTTGTTTGGATGTACTTTTAGTGGTTTCTTTGTGGTTAAACTGCAGCCCGTAAATATGTTGGTTAACTCAGAGGGAGTTTTTTAAACTAACACAATTATTTTAGTTTTTTTCTTGCTCCAAAAAAAATGTAGCGTTTTAAAGACGTTTAAGCTTAAATAGTGGTTTCCTTGTGGCTTCGTATTAGTTTGTTACCGAGTTTCAGCTAAGAGGTCCTATTTACTTTTATAATTGCTTAGTAATAGATCTTATTCATGTTAAATTTTTTTACTAAAACCTTCCTATCCTGATCATTAAATCTTAATTTTGTGACTAGGACATTTTACTGTTTTTATTTTGAACTTCTATATATTTCTATTTGTTTTATAAATCATTACGGCCCATAAAATGATAGCACATCCTGGAGCTAGTATCCTTTTAAGCGAGACACTTATTCAGCTTGATTCAGCACTATTTCACTTGGTTTATGGTTCATAGCACATGATCCACAGATCGTTTTGGTATATCCTTCGGGATATGTTTTGTTGAACAGTTCATAGATCACAATCAATATCCTTAATCCTCGGCTGCTGCTGCTCACCTTGAATGCCATTTTAGTATGAATTTAAGTTCGCGATTTGTTTGGAGATTAGTGGATGACTGCACGCAACGACTTTTCACCACTGAATAATGTGGTTGCAACGAAAATGCGCTGCTTTTATATGGTTAGGAAGAAAGTGAATCGGCTGGCAGCGGTGCTTCGTCGGATTGGTGGATCGGTGGGTCGGTGGATCGGCGGTTCAAGCAGCGGTGGTTCGAGCAGCGACGTTGCCGTCTTTGGTGAGCGGAGCGTCTCATGAGCCAAATGTAAAACAGTTCAGATGTGGTTGTTGGTTGCCATTGTTTGACGTTCGATGTTTGCTGCCCCGCTGCACTCAGAATAAAAACTAAAAGTCGCCTTAAAATCAACCACACTAAAAAATTCTTCTCTGAAATTGACCGTTTGTGGTTTTTGATATTCAAATTTTTTGAACTTCCGAAACATTGCAATTAAGTCATAGAGTTTTTTGCTATAGCAAAAAATTGTAGAAAATAAAGATAGACAGGGATAAATACTTAAGTTTTCAATTAGTTAGGAAAATATCATTTAAAATTAATGTATTTATTTATACTATTTTAAACTGAGTTATTAAAGTGAAAATTTTCAAATAAATTATTTTAAGTATTTTTTTAAATTGCCCATAAATGCCAACAGTTTTTGACGTTTTTTTATAGCCCAAAAATTTAAACATGTACCTAATATAATTATTTTATTTCAATTAAGGGCAGAGTTGGGACACTATTTGCTTATTTTTTGTCGAGTGTTTGTTGTCCAGGACTCTTTGTGTGTCATTAGTGACGCATGCGATGGCGTTGATAAGTCGTCATCGCTGTTGCTGATCGGCAGTTGCAACATCGCTGTCAGCCCCGCTCCGAAGTTTGTTAATAATATTTCGGTATTTTACCACAGCCTATTTGCATTGCAGGTCTGCATTGTTGTTGCTCTGCAAGTACGCTCATTAAACGCTGTTTGACCCAAATTTCGGCCTGATGATTTTCGTGGCTGCTGCTGGGCAACATTTTTGGGGGCAACCTTCTATTGCGGCTAGCCTCCGGTTAATCGTTTACTTTTAATGCGCTGATTTTCGTAAACCGTAAATGGGGAATTGTAAATTGAATAGGGGCTGCAGGCTGGTTTGATAAAGACCTATTTTGTAATACTTAATTGTTCGCCATAAAACAGAAGTTTTGTTCACAGCTCTTTTGGGGGTCCCACATACTCGGGCTGCCCTGTACTTCAATTCAAAGTTAAGTGCCACAATTGCGTTAGGGGAAAATTAACCAATGTTTTTGAGTCTTTCGTCAATTTGCGATTGGTTGGCGCTAATTAGGCAGCCAGCCGTTGAATTTTGTGTTTTAAGGATTCTTGCCTCGAAGGTTGAGACAATAGTTTTGTTAAATGCATTTAAGTGACACAAAGGTGTTTTGTTTTTCGGCTACATTTGTTGCCCAATTCAATGTAATCGGATTACAAGATGTTTTAAACTACACATACATATAATGTAGAGTTACAATTTTGAATAGCTTACTGGGAGTTAGCTTAAGATCATTTGTTGAACATTAATGATAAAAATGGAAAATTTACCTCTTGTCTATATTTCTAAAATCTTTTGTCTTTTAAACCATATTTTGCAATTCCTATTGTTAAATCAAAATTAATGTTGATTTAAATATTTCAATGATATTAATAATAGCTTCATTATTATAAAAATATACACCAAAGTAAACTTGGAAGGAACCTTCCAATATTTTAAATATCGAAGTCAAATCAGTCTAATAATAAATTCGATTAAACTTTGCCACTGCCCTAAAAAAATTCCTTTAAATTTTCTCACACATTCAAATTCCAGCCCATCATCCACTCGTTCAACTCATTCCCATCTCGTTTATCTAGTTCATCGGCAAGTTGTTTGCCAATAACTCGAGAAATTACTTGGATTTGGATTTCGTGCAGTTTGCATAGCCCCGATTTGCAGGCTCTCCAGTAGATCTGCCGTGGATCCAGTCCAATTGAGTCCAAGCAAAACGAATGACATCGGGTTGATGGACTCTTAAATACAGACACAATTTTAATTGCTATATTATGGTCGACAACGTTTGACAACATTGCAAGACATGACAAACCGAAAAGCAGCGGATAAAAACAAACATTTTTTCACGATGATTACCAATCCAATCCGCCGCAAATCCCGAAGCAGCATAAGAAATATGGCAAATAAAATAAATGCTTAATTATGGCCCACGATTTGGGGTCTACGTCTCCTGTTGTTTTACTGCGCGGAGCGTTGGCGTCGCGGCAGGTGGAAAAAATAACGCAAGTCAACATGCCACACTCGACAAACGGCTAAAGTCGCCTTTGTGGCATTCCAAATGTACATACAGTCACGTACCATAGTGTATCTGCCGCAGCATTTGGCAATTCGACGAAGCGCCGCAAATTGAACGCATTGCTGATACAATTTTCAGCTCTGAGTTTGTGGGATTTCCAAGAAGGATACATTGATGAGGTCGCTAGGGTTGTGATTGGAAAAAATTGTGTTTTTAATTAAAATTTGTTTTTTTTTCCATACCACTTTTCTTACTGAAATAATTACTTTGATTGATATATTAATCGTTTTTTTCTGCTCTAAATGTTTGGCCTATCAAAGAGTAAAACCAAAAAAAAAAAAATATTTTATTGTTAATCACATAATAATTATTTGCTATGTATCGGATGCTCTTGTTATATCTACAAAAGTTTTTGAGTTAATCTTTCGAACGTCTCTTTGGACCCCTTCTAGGACGCATGGATTTTCCGTCCACTAAGATTGCGGTGCCCAATAGAAAGATCACAGTTAGCCACATCAGCTGCATAATTGCAAATATTCATTCTTTCTAAATACAAAAATCACCTACGGGGAAATAAATATTTATGCTTAAATAGATTCGTCAGGCGTTATTTATTTAATGCAATAGGTGTGAAAAAGCAAGGCGAATTAAATCGGCATTGTAAATACCAGATATAAGGGTATACGATGTCGGGTATACTTTTTGAGCCATTTCCCCCATTTTTGTGCAACATTTTTCGGTTGATTTCTCTGCTAGTTATCGCCTCGAAATTTTTTTTTTGTACTCTGTCGTTGTAATTGCACACAAAATTTTCATTTTGTTTGCTCTCTTCTCGTTTCCTCCCGCTCACACTCGTTGGCCAGCAGGTGTTAATTTTTTGGTTAGCTATAGTTTAGATTCGCAGTTTTTTTTTTTTTTTTTTTTTTTTGGTTTGGCCTGGCTTAAATGTGGCTTACTTTTACCCAGAGCGCTTGGCCACTCAATCAATTCCCACTCACAAAAGTGAAAAGTCAAAACGCGACTTGAATGCGGCGTTTTTGCTGCTTTTGTTGGTTATGCGCATGCGCGCATGTAACAGCTGCAGGTAAGCAGACCAAGCAATTACCTAGTAACTCATATTTACCGTTAGACATTTAGTACATGCATTAACTTGGCCAAAAGTAGTTGAAGTGCTCCTGCTGCCGCGGCTAAAGCTAAAGCTAAAGCCTTAGCTATTTCTGGTGTACATTTGCGACATCGGCCAAACAAAATAAAACAAAGCAATGGAAAAAGTTTGGTACACTGCAAAAAATGTGTCACTAATAATGGTGGATTGGCTGGTACCTTTAACCAAAATATGGAAAACGCACGTATGCAAATATATACAAAGTCAAAATACTTGTCAACATTCTAAAAAAAAGAAATTAGGTCAGTATTAAATATATTTATATACATATTGTAATTGTTTTTATTGATATTTAATCAAAATGTTTTCTTTAAAGAGAACACAAAAACATTATATAATATTAATTTGCAATATATATAATTTTTATAAATATCCAATTTAAACTCGATTTTTTTCGGTGTACCCTAAGCGATCGTTCGGCAAACACACAACAACAATGGCTGGCAATCAGCAGCAAACTTTGACTTTTGTCTCATTGTTTCATATTTATTAGAGTCCCGGCTAAAACCTTACAACTCAACAAGCCAGCGACGCGTGCATCTTTCCAAAATTGTTGTGGGAATTGGCTTTGGCTTTAGTTTTTGGCTACTGTGGCTGCCGATGTTGCTCTTTTAATGGTTATCCTTTTATGCGACTGGAGCTTACGCAACCAAAACGGCAGCGATTGTGGCTACTGTAATTGAAAATTACATTCGATGAGCTCCGCTGTGCCAGGGCATCCCAACACATTCAATTACCGACAATTTATATTAATTTATTTAAAGGCAATGCGAATAAAACACGAATTTGCTGGAGACTGGTTGATTCGGACCGCAAAGTGAAATGTGCGTGTGTGTGGTTAAAAGGAAAATGCGAGAGAAATACACGGCTAATTGCCAGCGCACATTGAACTTTAAAGTGAATCAGCAAGTGGACAGCAAGTTTTTCCTCTGTGCGATCGTTTTCTTCAGTCACACAGTGCGTATGAGCAATAAAATATAGTTTCGTGTAGTCATCATCACCTGTTCATTTAACATTATGTCGGGAAATAATTAGATCTAAAATGCATCGGTCATATATTGCTTATGTTAAATATGTATAAGGAGAAATTGTGGACATTGGATTTGGGTAAGCTATTTGCTAAGGAGAAAATACAAGCATATACACAAAAATATTGGTAATTGGTCAGTTGGTAAGAGTCTTGTCTTAATGCTATCAACTCATGTATCTTATAGTGTAGAGATATTAGAATGTTATCCCCAGGATGCTTGGATAAGCCCCGTCAGCTTCGATCTGCCATTCTTCATTATTCAATCGCATCCACCCGTCATTGCCGTCAGCTTTGATTATGCATTCCGTGATATAACCGGCGTCGAGGCATAATCTGAAAAGCCTTTCAACGGTAACAAATAATATTCACTTGAATTCGGTGCGGTAACAGCCAAAGCAGCAATTGCACCCGCCCCTTCTGGTTCCTCCAGCCCCTCGACTTCTGCCGCGGGTCTTAGGCTTCGCCTGCTGCCGTTGACATAATAAACAGCTGAAGAAATTAATTAAATGCAAATTGCCAAATCACATAATCATATCATATGGCAGCTGGGACAGTCGGGCGACACTCCAACTCTCGTGTGTGGAGCAAGACGCGGAAAAAGGCGAGAGTGCAAAGTCTTGTTGCTGGCGGTGCCATTTTCCAATTGATTTTCTCGCAGCTCTAATTGTATCATTGACTAATCAAAATATTTACGCTTTGCATTCACAGGCGCGCGTTAACTGTTAAATATTTTAATTTCACTCCAAAGTGCCACTGCCATTTTCACACATCACGAGTGGGGTTGAGGAAATCGGGCGGTATGACTTTTCTTTTTTTTTCGCTGACGACGACTTCCTTGCCCGTCCGAATGCCTCATTAATTAGGCGCCAATTGAATGTGTCTCCCTCCCTGCCGCTTCACCACTTCCTGCAGTGAAAAGCGCTTTTCCAGAGGGGGCAGAAGAGGGTAGTACCGCCGCAAAGTAGGTTAAATACTTTTACCTTATTCCGTAGCCGGCTAATTGCTGTCATTTTTGGCGAAGCTTTGTTTTTCCTGCTGCTGCTGCTGTTGCTGTTGCTGCTGCTGCTGCTACTACTGCCGAAGAGATGCAACAAATTAACAACTTTTCAAGCTCGCCCGAACCGGATATTATGAAATTTTCCAGTTTCGAGTGCCATATCGAGATTATAAAATGGTTAAATTTATGCAACCGCCTGGGGGCCTGGAAGGCAGGACCAAGCAAAAAACCGGCTGCAGATCCCCTAATCAAGTTGTCAGCTCGGACACACATATTTCTCTGCCCCGCTCAAATATATTCCGTTTTATTAGTTTGTTTATGAGCCGGCCGCCGCAGGGACAACGCCCGCGATCTCAATGTTAAGTTGAAGTGCAAACTTGCCACTTGGAGGGGGCCCACTGTGCGGCTACGTAATGCAGACGTTACGTATACGTCACGCCCTAGCCAAAAAAAAAAGGAGAAAATCAGAAACACTTTCACAGAGCCCCTCAATGGGGCGGTGGTGCAAACCGATTGCCTCAGCAATTAGTTAATGACCGAATATGTATGCCAAAAAGAAAGAAACCGAACGCAATCAATTGGAATGGAATGGACTGAGTGGATGAACGTAGCAGCAGTTTAATTAGCATACAACAAATCAGGCGAGTGCATATGAAAGTTGCTTTGTCTTAATTACTAACTAAACAACAGTCTAAGAAATACAAATCAAATTTAAATAATTTTCTCGTTAAGAACACAGCCTATACTAATTAGATGCCATATGCATTTCCTACTTACTGCAGCCCCTCCCCATCGAAGCAGATTATATTTCAGCCATCTCAGTGAAGCATAAAAGTGAACGGACAAGATACAAATTCGTGGGCAATAAATGCACACGGTAAATAAAAATCAGACTATACAAATGTAAAATGCTTAAAAATAACAAATACAATTTAAAGAGCTTGGAGTGGTTTTGGCAACAAAATTTCGCAATCTACGGCGAGTGTGCGTGCCACAATTTAAAGTTGCCGCAATAATGGAATAATAAATCAGCATAAATATGCATCAGACGAGGGAGAGAAAAGAAATGGCGTTGAAAGCAAAAACGATAACAGAAATCAAAATGCACTTCGCATTTCCTTCCGTTTTTATTCGAGTTTGCCTGAGCTTGGCACTTGCCATGGAAACGCATTTGGAAATTTGGAGCAATTAAATGGCAAAACATTTACACTTGACTGCAACGTGATGCGGGCGATGTCTTCCTGAATATGGGAAAACCGGGGAAAATCCGTCTGAAAGCGAACCCAATCCGGCCCGTTGTGGGCGACCCAAATTAGCCTACAGAGGCGAAGAAAAATGTAACTTCAAAGGCGGCAAGCGATTTAGATTGGGATCAAGACTCTGACTGCTCCATTTTGGCACCCGGAAGATATTTCAAAAATGCCACAGACACTCGGCGCTTTTTATTGCAGCCTCAATTATGCTGTTCAGTGTGTGGAATTCTTTTGTTGCTCGTTTGGTTTTTTAATGGCCAAATTGTGATCACTTTTTTATGGCCAAGGTATTGGCGATAGACGTGGCGAATGAAAAGTGAAAGAAGCTTACCTAATAACTAGCGCAGGGTTTGCTCTTGTCTCGACTAATAATTGTTACGTTCACAGAGACAAAAAAATTTAAAATATTTAACAAAGAATGTAAGTATAAAGATAATAAGTAATATCCATTAAAATGATTTCTATTACCAATAAAAAACCTGTAAAAAAATACCATCAAATATTAAATGCTTAGACCACTTCAAAATGTGTCGAGGCTATGCTTTTAAGGCTTTGACGATCAGTAAATTTTTGTAAATGAACAAAGAAACTCTGTAAATATTTCCTTTTCATTTTTAGAATGGTAGACAAGAATTCTTAAAAAATGAACAAAGAAACTCTGTAAATATTTCCTTTTCATTTTTAGAATGGTAGACAAGAATTCTTAAAAATTGGATTTTCTTGAATTTATTTATTTTATTGTATGACAAAATATAAATTGAATACATAGATTTATTGTGGATAAAAATGATTTTATTTAAATAATGTTTACAACTTTCTCATTTTCCTAAATTGTAATTTTTTCTTATTTCCCTAATACAAGAATAAAAAAACATATTATTTTTTTTCAGAATCTATGATATTTAATATTAAAAAAAATTTAAAGCATAGATTCCGTATGGATCAAAATCATTTTATTAAATAAATTTCAAAGCTTTATTATTTCCTTATTTTATATTTACTTGTGTTATTTTTCTAATTCAAAGAAAAATTTAACTATAGCTTTTCTCTGTGTAATTTGGGTAACAGACCCTCCTCTTTAGTTTTCTTGGTGAAACACTTTTAAGCATTTGGCCTGGTGAAACATTTTCAGACATTTACTCCAGCCTGGCCCCACTCAGGTTGGGTAAATTTGCCAGGAATTCACGGCGATTTGCCTCAATGGTTCGCTGTTGCCAATTTGCAGTGCTGGGACTGCTATTGACCAGTGGCCTGGGCGGTGGTAAGCTTGCCTCCGTCTCCTCAACTTGGGGAGCCTTCTCGGCATTGTTGGTTTTGGCTCGGTTGTATTTTGAACTTTCGGTTTTCTGGGGCTCTGCAGTGGTGGCCTTGGCGGTTGCTTGATCCGCTGGCAGTTGAAATGGAGCTATGGGAAACTGCTGGGGTATTAGATTCTGAACCGGCAGACCCTTGGCTGGGGCCTTGCCCTGGATCACATCGAGCACCGCTGGCTTTAGTAAGTCCTTGGTCACATCGATGTGGTTCAGATCGAGTCCATGCTGCTCCTTTAGCTGTTGGGCCACATGATCTGCCACATGGGAAACACTCACATTGAGATGACTCTTAGGATCCCAAGTCACATTTGAAGGGGACTCTGTTTTGCTTCTTTCTACAAGAATATCGGGTCTTTCGGTAGGCCAAACTGCCTGTACCCTCTCATCCCCCGCTTTGAAAGTCTCAATCTGAGCAGAGTATCCCCCATCCTCATTCGCTCTATACTTGGTGACCTCAATGCGTCCATCAGGCCTAGCGTACCCATAGCTCCCCTGGATACTGCCATTCGCGAAGCGTTTTTCTTCTCGGAACTGGGAGTTTTTCGTCTGCGGATCATCGACTTCGTAGCCAAAGGCGTAGGTGTTGGGACCTGTTTATAAAATCGGGCATTAATTGGGTAATCCAACCTATTGTACAATATTTTATTTGGCCTACCGTAGGGCTCGTGCAGAAAATAGTTGCTCACTTTGGCTTTTCCACTCTCATTTTCAGCTGCTGCCTTGTTGTAAGCTCCGCTTTTTGCTGGCAATGGAGTGGACACCGCGGCGTATACTTTTGTGGTTAATAGGAAAATTTGCTGGTAAAGAAAAATGTATAGCAAATACTAAGGCGCTAAGTTGGTTCAGTGGATAATTAAAAGCCTTTTAGCTAAAATCGAGAAAAATATGTTGATGCTTAAAAATTACACAAGTCTTTTAGGAAATGTGCAAAAAAGGGTATTCTAAGTTTGTTTTTATAACAAAAATGTTGTCAAACAAAACTTATGATATTGTAGGGGTTGTGTTGTTCAATTTTAACGAACTTTAAATCGCTCTTTATTAAGATTATTAAGATAAAACTGTGATTGACAAATGCTAACAAAATATACCAAATAAAAAACGTTTTAAATGCATTTGACCAAAAAAAAAACATTATTCAATATTTTTTTTATAATTTTAGAGTTGTTTCAAAACATTATTAAAATCTAACAAATTGAAAAAAAAAACAAGGGTATAATAATTTTTTGTTTGGCTAACGCACGGTTTCTAAATAGATTTAGTATCTTTATGGTTAAAATTTATTTGCAGTTCAAACAAAATTTACTGAATAGTAACAGAACTATACCAAATTTTGTTTTGCAATTTTTTTACACAAAATAACTATAGAAGAGAATGTTTAGAAAAACACGAATGGCCATAAATATATAAGATTTTACAAGCTCACAAAATGGCTAAGAAAAATAAAATCAATTAATAATTTAACTTCAACACATTTATTCCATTTCCAGAACATTATAAAATTTGAGCACAACTCAAGAATTCCTAGGTAATGAACCAATGTGAAATACATTTCTTGTTTTTTTAGCAGACTGTTCCTACGCACTTACAAAAAACCACAACAAATTTGACGAACATTCCATGCTGAATTTTAATTATTTTCGCCTATAAATAAGTCACATTTATTTCGATTTTAATTTTTTGAACTGCGAGTTGCGCGTACTTTCGATGGCGAAGGCAGACTGAAGAACCGAGAACCCAAAACGAAATGGAGAGGCCCTCAGAGTGGGTGCGAATCCTCATTAGAAACACTTTGCCGGAATGCTAATTATTTTTCTCATTTTTGTTTTATGCTTGGCATAATAAAAGTAATAATTATGGCCCCTTCATGCTAATCTTCGCGAACTTTGGCGTAAATCCAGCCCAAGGAAGAGAAGAACATATCGTACATTTTTTTAAATATGATTTTTTATTTATTTTTTTTTTTAGTTTTTTTCTTTCTATTTCCATAATAACGTTTTCGCATTTCGTTTGCTGTTTGCTGCTGTTTTTGTTGTTGTTTTTGCATACAAATGTTTATGGGGAATATATAGTACATAAGTGTAAGACTCAAATGAACTTTTGAGACGTGAGAGACATGTGAGAGTTTGTTTTCCTTCGTTTATCCTCCTAATTGAGTACAATGTTTATTTTTTTGTTGTATTTTTTCGTTTGTTTTTTCTTAGCTTTGTTTGTTTATAATTAAGCTGCATAATTGTTTATAAATACACAATAAATGTGAAAAATACTAAATGCAAAAAAAATGAAACTAGATACAAGGTGTCAGACTGAGAGTAAGTGAGTGAGAGACATTAAAAGAGAGAGAGAGAGATAGTGAGTCGGTGAGTGAGTGAGACGGGTGAGAGTGGAAGAAAGAGGCGGAATGAGGTCACGTGGATAACAGCGTGGAAATTCTAGAGTACTAGCTACTAATGCACAATGACCGGCCATCACCGGCAATCTTCTGCGCTCCAAGGACATTTTTTTATTAAGCCTGCCAAACTGTAAGCAAGTCCCGCAATGGCACACAAGTTAGCACGCCCACCGTTGCTCTCAATGGGGCGTGGCAGTTTAAGGATGCTGGCCACAGTCTGACAGTCTCCACAAAGGCTTCTAAAGAATGTAGAGCATAGAAAGGGAAAATAAAGTACAGGGCAGAGACAGTCATAAATATATTACAAAAGTATAGCTTGGAAAAGTAAAAGAACTAGGCATATAAATAAAGTTCTATGTACAGAGTGAGGAAATATCTTGGGAGAAGCCTTTGTGCCATCCTAGAAATGAATTTCTCGGAGCACTGCTTGCAAAAGTTTGCCAGGAAAATCGGTTTCGGTTAGTCGTACATACATATATATAAACAAATATAACATATATCATGTGGAAAAAGTTGTCACTCCAATTCCGATTGTTATCCTTTAAGACTTTATCATCCGCGATCAAGTCATTCCGAGTGCCAAGTCGTTATGAGAATTTCTGGTTTATTTTGTTTTCTGTTCGTTTTTCCTTCGTCCTTATGCCATGCCAGGATCAGCCGGGTGCCGGGACACGCCCCCTAAGTCGGTCCCGTGTCTACTAAACTCTTAGCTACGCTTACTTACAAAAGAATTTTCATATTCGTTGTTTGTTTGTTTGTTGTTTGATTTTTTTTTGTGGTTTTTTGTTCGTTTTTCTGTTTGTTGTTCCTATGATGTTTCTGTTGTGGTTGTGGATGGATGAGAGCGACAGGGAGAGCACCTTGGTGACTAAGTCAGGCTCCCGCCGTTTAGTAGTGGTGCAGCAGGGGGGGCGTGGGCCAGCACGGGGGCGGCATGCAGCACGGGCGCATGGGCGATGATCTTGGTGGGGGCGGTCTTGTGGACCACGGCATTGAATCCATTGTGGTCGTCGGCGGTGTAGTCAACGGTGCGCACCGAACCATCGGGCTCCACCAGGGAGTACTGGCCTGGATGGGGATGAAATTGTAAGTATGTCAATTAAATAATAAATGTATTTAATTCTTTTTATACTAGTAATTGTCATGTGCTTTATTTTAAAATTTATATTCTACTATCCATTACTTACGCATTTAAATGTCTTAATTATGTTTCAGCTTAGACTGCCAAGTCATACTTTCTAGGCAATTTAGATCAAATTTATATCTTCAGGCAGCCAATGAAATATTTAAGTGCATAAAGTTCGTTTCCCAGATCTTTTCTTTTGGACCATTAAAATAAAAATTTGTAATTAAATATTTAACTTAAGTGAATATAAATGAATTGTCAAAGATCACTTTGAAACTAAGCACTCAAATTAATAATAATAATTTAATACTTTGTTATTAACAAATTTTTTTAAAATCAATTTTGTGACGAAATCTTTAGATTTTCATCAGAAAGAAAGTATTTAAATTTGTGACAAATCATTAATATTTTCAAGTTTGTTGCCTAAGTCTTTTTGTTTCTATATGATTTTCAAGTTCGTTGCCAAAGTCTTTTGTATTTAGTTCTTGTATGTGTTTCTGTGTAAGTTTGTCGCCTTAGCCTTTGGTTTTGTTTAAGTTAATTTACCCATTTCAACGAAATTTAAGAACAGATAGAACCCTGTTTTGATGGAGTAATTTATAATTTATGATCTCACTCACCCTTCACCACATCACCGTCGCGCTCCTCGGCTTGCGATTTGATGTCGCCGGTGTGGGGATCCTTGATGCCGTAGTTGAAGGAGTACTTGGGATAGGCCACCGGCTCGGCGTGGACGGCATGGACGGCGTGCGACAGGACGGGCGCATGGTGCACCAGCGCCGGGGCGTAGTGGCCCAGCTCGATGGGAACGGCCTGAGCGGCGGCGAACAGCAGAGCGATGGCAACAAAGTACTAGAGAGTGGAGAAGTGAGCATCAGGATCGGGGATTCACTAGGGTTTTTCGAGGTTTCTTGGGAATTTCGTTTTTTTTTTATAATTGGGGACAGGGATCTAGCACACACCTTCATTTTGTTAATCGAGCACGAACGGCAAACGGACACACGACGCGAACACGTAGCTAAAAGGACAAAGGACGACTGGACGCTGATTCCTGTGGAGGAGGCTGTGAGGAGATCTCGAGTGACTGAGGACCGTTAAGAGCACGAAATCGTTAGCTGAACTGATGTCTGCAACGATGACCAAAAGTATTTATATACGCGTCGGCCGTCGACGACTGCAACCCGACTATAGACGACTGGAACGAACGAGCGATGGCGGTGGCGGTGCAGCTGTGCCACCGGTGGGTTGGGGTGGGTGATGGTGCTGCTGGTGGTACTGCTGGTGGTACTGCTGGTGCCGGGGAAGCCAGATGCCAGTTGGCAGTTGCCAGTGGCGCAGTGGTACCCTACCACGCATATGCCACAACAATGATCCCCAGCCATGCCCCCTCGAAACTCTTTGGATAGGTGCGGCATTTGTTTCTCGGCCTGAGAAGGCGTTCGGTGACTTAGTTTCGCTGACTGTTTGTCTGTTTGTCTGCCTCTCGCTGATGACGGCGCTGCAATTGAAAGCGACACTTTTGCATTGGCTTTAATGATCTAAGCTCTTTATTTATTGATTTGCCGACATAATTACGATCGATTCGGGTCCGCACAAGTTGGCCGAAAAATATTATTACCATATATGTGGCAATCAAACGGGGCGTCGTTATAATTACCACGCCAACACCAACGAGACACGATGGAAAACAAATCCAAAAACTTGCGTAGTTTTCATGCCACGCAATTTGTTGCCTGACATTTTTGCGCCCGATTTCAGTTTGTTATTTCCATGATCTGGAGAACTGTGAGCGGAATTTCGATGTTGCCAAATAGTTTGACTTGGCTAAGCAAATCAAACGCGGCTCAATCAATATTACCCGAGGCATGTGACAAATGTTTGTCGCCAAGATTGCGAGAAATGATAAATATTAGATGGAATTTAGATAAACAATTAGTGGGGAATGCATACAAATATTATACAAAAATGGTTTTGCAATATTTTTGTTAAACTATAACTGCATTGTCGGAAAAAAATATTCGATAAATAATTAATGTTGGACGGTTGGCAAATGAATATTTATAATATACAAAAAAAGTTCCATTTATTTCATAAGCATTTCATTAGCAATTTCTATTAATTTTTTCTAAATGGCAATTTATACAAGAAATCGCTGAAAAAGTGTTATTTGCTTTAAAGTGTTTCATTCAACATTTTTCAACATAAATTAACTAAAGACTTAAGCTCAAACTCCTCCTGTTCCATGCTTGCTCAACTCGTAAAAATCAGTTTTTTGACACTTTTTCAGGCAACACCCACAACGAAAAGCAAACCGCTCTGGCATGACATATCAGAAAATTATGATTGTATCTTATAAAACACACACAAGTGGCCATTAAACGGAGACAAACAGCCGAGAGATGGGGTGGGCAAAGGGGAGACTGCCTGTCGTCTGGGCAAACGATGGGAAAAAGCTCAGTGTTCGTTTGCTAGGTGCAAAATGTGCTGGCCGAAAAACAAAAAATAAAAACCAAAAAAACATAGTCGAGACAAACCAACAGATACTCAGATCGCACTATAAGAGATCACTTTGGCCTGGGCCTGGCCATTAGCATGGAAAGCGGAGACAAAGACACAGAATCGACTTACATAAAACGGCTTTAAAGGCGACACATTTACACGGCTGGCCGAAAATCGCTCGAAACAATTGCCAACACAAAAAAGAGTCCGGGCCAAACAAGTTGGCCACGTCACGATCGCACTTTGACAGAGTCAGGAGTTGCAGGGGTTCGGTTTGGATGGCTAGATAGCTGGATGGCTAGATGGCTAGATGGCTGGATGGTTAGTTGGTTAGTTGGTCACTGGACAAGACAGCTGGAAAATCGCAATGACTGCGACAAGCTTTGTCTTTGTCTGGATCGCCGGTTGCGCAATGGAATGGTACCGCCAAGCGACATTGCCTGATCGATCGAATTGTTTTGCATGCGTTAATTGCACTTGTCCACGCATATCCCCCTGAAATCCCCGCCTGAAATCCATATCTCTGCGCGCCTAACTTGAGATTTATTATACTTACGGCTCCGCCTGTCGATAACTAGAACAAGCATTTTATCTTGATTTATGTCCGCCGATCTGGCAGTTTGTTTGCCTATGTTTGGACAATGGTTTGATGTGGGCGGGCGGCCGTTAGGGCGGGGCCTCGGAGGGTAATGGTTATCTATTGAACATTTAAACGCACTTTGCATGTTTTTCGAATAACTGAGCCTTGGCTGTAGGGGTATATTCGTTTTATAGCTAAGAAAATAATAATACAACAACAATAGTAATAATTATCTACAACTTATGATACTGCAAATTTAAATGCAACTTTTCAGTTAGTTATTTATGTATTTTAACCTTATTGATACATTTAAATACAAAACTCAGATATTTTTTTTTTTAATTACTTTACGAATGTTCCCTACTGGTCATTGTTTAGTCGAACCATTTGACTTGATCACCTTTTTCTTAAATTTACCCCTTGGCTTAAATGACTTGACAGTTATAGATTTGTGGCTTGATTTATGCAGTAGGCAAAGCGATTTTTTTGTTTCTTTCGTGATTGAAACTTGAAGGTCTTTTGGCTTTATGGCATTATGTTTAACTGGACAATGGATTCAATTAGAAAGTGAGTGCAGCGCACATTCCACGCAGTGTAATTCAAGGCGTTGCACAACGCTGCGTATGCGTAACGCGCCTTATCCGCTAAGATCACATCCGCTGGATATTACATAATCCCGATACTACTTCCGACACTCTTTGGGCATCCCATTACACCTAGGCATCGTATGACTTTGGCTAATTAAAACATTTCCTTCAGCAAGATTCTGGCACGTCCGAAACAGACGCATGCTAGCCATGTTTGGTGAGTTTTCGGTCTATCATTCTGAATAGTATGCCGCTAATGGGGTCTGCAAGGGGTTATTAGTGGACCATAAGTCGACTGTCAATTAGCCCGGTCCGGTTACAGACGTCAGCCCAATTTTGTCGCCGGCTCAATTGTGAGATTACCGACGCCAAGTTGGTCAGGCTGCCTGGCATTTCAGCATTATTACCGCATCGCTGCCACAACCAGACGTCGTTTGATCCACTTTCGAGTCTGCTCTCTGCATTTCGCACATTTAATGCGATTTTGCGCATTTGCGCGTTTGAAATTAAGCGAGTGACGAAATGGAACCACCAGCCAGACCAAAGTGGATCACGCATACTGGGGGAAAATAGATTTTCCGAGCATGCAACAAACTTGCCTGTCCATCGGCCCGCTTGATTGAGTCCATGCGAAAATGAAAATGAAAACGAAAATGAAAAGGAAAAAGAAAACAACATCGAGATCGAAATTGAATCAAAGTCGGAGTCGGGCTCCAATGGAGTCCACTTCGAACGCACACGCTTCAACGGCCTGGCCGATATACTCTATGTGTGTATATCCACTTGACGTTGATGTTGATGTTGTGGTTGCGTAAAAATCGCCCCCTTGCCGCCTTTAACCCCGTTGAACCAGCAACATAAGCTCGCCAGATATTTCAATTAGCGTTTTATTTATATTTCTTAATCTTTCGGCTTAGGAGTTTCGGGATTATGCAAATATATTTCAATTGAAACGGCGTAACTATCAGATTTACTAGTTATTTAATAAAGGATAATGTTACACTAAAATTAGTTAAATCATAAAGTAAAAAGATAACCTTCATTATTAATTTTTTTTGTTTACTCGAGCACGGACACTCAATACATTTTTATAAATCTTAACTAGATACTGTGACCATTATTGCAATAAAAGGTTTCAAGAATTTTTAATAAAAACAAAATAATTTTAAAATTACTAAGCAAATATTTATTTAGATTTTTGTATTAAAATACTGATCCTTTATTAATTTGACATTTTTGTATTATTTAGAGTGGTTTATTTTGGCTGTATCACAATATAAGAAATATAGTTAATTGATTCATAATAGTGCGAGATGCCCATTTAGTAATCCTCGCTGCTGGCCTCCTCCTGCTGACTGTGAGCATCGGCCTCCACGTATCCTTCCTCGCTGCTGCCCTCGTACTCCTGGTGGTCTCCCTCCTCCTCCCCTTCTGCATCCTTTTCCTTTTCCTCGCCACCGCCACCGCCCTCGTCGTAGTCCTCGTGCACCTTGTACTGCCCATTTCCCTTGTGAGGAGCTGCGTGAGGGGCCTCCTCCTCCTCCTGTTCCTCGCCCTCCTCATCATCCGCTTCGTGGGCTTCGGAGCTGTCGTGTCTCACTTGGTTGTCCACCGTACCGCCACCCGCATCGACCTCGGCTCCATGGCCATGCAGAGTTTTCACACCGTTCGTAATCACCTCCGCCTGAAAGCCGTTGGCATCGTCGGCCGTGTATTTAACCACACGCAAGGTGCCATCCGGATCGACTACGCTGCGTGGAGGCCATTGAATAAAAAATAAATAAAATTAATTCAAAGCGGCAATTAATGCATGTTCGTAGGTATGTTATAGGTGTCAAGTTGGTAGTTATTAATAGTCAGTTCAAGCTGGTCATACAATAATTTGAAGAAGACATGAAAGTGATGAAGTGGTGAAGACTATATTTAAATTTAAAGTTGCTAATATTTTGTATAATTTAAAGGGTCAGAAAACAATTGCGGTTCAAAACTTTAATTTTTAAACTACTTTTTGTATTTTGACCCTATTTTGTTTCCAAAAAAAAATAAATTGTTCCGCATAAGGGGAAACTCTATCTTGTTAACCTAAATTAGTTTATGTAGACATTAATAAGTGTTCTAAAAAAATGATTAGTAACTGTTGAACAGTCAGTAATATCAATACATTATTTTCAACTTTTAGTATTCTTTTTTAATAAGTTAAGCACTTAATTAGGCCAAGCTTATTTTTCGACAATCTACGAGATCCGAATTTTACCACGTTATTTTTTTAAAGTGTTATGCAAATAAGTAAATATTTATGTAATTATATGTAATGTAGCTAAGTGTTTGTTTCTATTATTTTCAGAGCAAGCAGTGGCCAGTATCTGATGTTGAGTGGTATTAAAGTGGCCACGATGCCATATCAATTTCAGCTCAGTGTGACGCTAATGAATGCGTTGACAAGTTGTCTCCCAACCCGTCACCCCCCATCCGATCTCATCCCATCGCCAGTGACCACTGATCACTGACCACCGACCACTTTCCAGTGGCTGGGAACTCACCTGTAGACGCCGCGCACCTCGTCGCCTGTCCGTGTCTCCTTGCGATTCTGCAGCACGCGCGAATTGCCATCCTCGACGCCATAGGCGAAGCTGTAATCGGGCCGGGCCACATAGTCGACGGTGCGTCCGTCGTGGACGGTGACCAGGTGCTCCGGCCCCGCCACCGGACCCTCGAATCTCGCGTAGGAATAGCCAACCGCTGCGCATGCGCCGATCACTCCGAATCCAGCAATTAGCGCCACCAGGGGCAGCAAATCTTTGAGGCGCCGCGCCGCGTGGCAAACGCGTGCCTCTCTTCGCAACGCAATGCGGAAGCCGAAACGAGTTGGGGTCTTGGCCTCTTCGGGTCCAAATCCACATTCATCCATGTCCCCAGCTGAGCTGGTGGCTATGCGACGCTTCTTCATGGCTGGCTGGTGGTGACTGGAACCCTGCGATGGCGATCCCCCGATTCTCGCATACTAAGCGTGAAGTGTCGCGCTCGTCGGGTATTTATATAGCCATCGGTTTTTGGGGGAGAAATGTCTCCGCCACAAGCATTTCCGCGAAATTATGCGCTTCAGTGGAAAGCGGCCAAGCGGAACAGCAGCTCTGCAGGGATGTGGTCAACCGATGACGTTGTGCTTGGCCACAAATTGCAGCATTCCCGCAAGTAAGGTTTACACAATGCCCCCCACCTGACGTCATCGATTTGCATGGGTCCACCGAAAAAAAGGGGGGTCAGAGCTGCAGGGGATTAGAAACGTCTCTTAAATGCCATGATCCCTGATTGACCATCGCTCATCGCGGCGCAATTTGTTTGGCTTGAAAATCGCTTTAAGTGCGTTCAGTCTGCCGGCTAGTTAGCCACACTGAGAAAAATTATTAAGATGTATAGTAGTTTCTTATCTAATGTGTTTATTTAAAACTATTTTATTAATTATTTATTTATTTGTTTATTCAGTAATGATTTTACTTGAGATTCAATTTACTTAGATGAACAATATAGATAACCTAACTCTAAATAGTTATCTCAGCATTTTTTTTAGACAATAGGAATTAATTAATAATGCGGTTTTTATACGGTAATCTTTAAGGCAAACTATTTAAGCTTTTTGAATTATTTTACACAACTTTATAGTGATTCGTAAGTCTTTTAATCTTTATTTTTTAATAAAGCTAATATAAATGTGTTCTTACCTAACCATTTATAACATTTTAAGTAATAAAAAATCACTGGTAAAAACTGTTGTTTGGTTTCACACCTTCATTTTCATTTAATAAATATATGTAATAATATAAACTGTTGTTTCTTAACCATTAATTAAGTTTTAAGTAAAAAACTGTTGACTGGTTTCACATCTTCCTAAATAATGACTATAAAGGTGTTGATGGCAAGTGATAAAATTTTCCCCCTGTGCAAGTGGCCAAATTATCGAAACATGGAACAACCGACGATGGCCAAGATAAACCAAGCGCAGCTGCAGCCGTTGAAGCTTTGACCTTTTTCTGAGGGTCTGGCAAAAGGAGAAAAATGTAGAAAAAAAAACGTCCGAAAAAGCAAACCAAAACCGGCGAAAAGCAGGCAAAATATGGCTATTATTTCGGCTGCTTCTAATTTATAAGCAACGCGCGCAGAGGCAGCCATTGTTGGGTATAGTTGAAAAATGCATATATCATTGGCCTCTGGTACTTGGCGGCTGTTTGTTGTGCGCATGCGCACAGTAGTCGGCCATTGAGGGGGGCTTGGATTGGGACTTGAGTGGCCATCGTGGGAAAACTCGTTGGGTGCATCGGTGTGCGCAGAAAGCGTCGCTTAATTACCCACATTACACAAATGCTATTGCCGTAGCTACTGAGCCACTGACTAGCTGTGTTTGCTGAGCTTGCTGAGGCAACGAGAATCGCACATGGATCGCCTCAACGCGAGTATCTTTTTTGGCTGCCATTAACGTAATTAAGACGCAGCTCGTTTGCCCTTTAGCGGCTGCCTAACACGCAACAAATGTGTCACTGCATTATGACTTAGAAATGGCGCAATGCAAATGCCTGTCAGTCGGCGCTATTAAAGCGAAACTAAGCCACATGCCAGCGAGTCATGTTGCTACTGCCTCTGCAAACGCAACTGAGACTGCGACTGACTCTGAATCTGTTTTTTTTTGCGGCTGACAACGACCCACTAACTGTGGTATCCTAGGCACCCAGGAAAGATCTCTGCGGCCAGATAAATTGCACATGCCACTGTGCTTTTACACTCTGAAAATTGAGTGCCCTTAAGAGGCTAGTTCAGTGTAACCCATACAATTTAAGGCAATTTTTGGAAATTTTATTTGAATGAAAGTACTTGATAGAAAGTTTTAGAGGTTTTTGGACATAGTAAATTATGTTTTTATTTTGTTTAGAAGTTTTTTTCTACAAAAATGTTCAGAAAAAACGGTAAAAAAAACCGCTTAAATAATTTTAAAAAATCGAACTATTTTAATAAACAAATAAATTAAAAATTTTCACTGCACATGTTTAAAATTTTACTACTAAATTTTACAATATTAATATAAGAGAATTATTAGTAAATTGCATTAAATTAAAGATAAGTAATAATATTAATATCTTTATACTTTTATTAATTATAATTTTTTGTGTAGCTATTTATAAGCTTACACATAATTGCTTTTTAAAAACTGATAATTTGGTTAAATTGACCGTTCAATAAATGTTGTACTTAACAAGTCAGTTAAAAACATCCTGATAGAAAATTGTTTAATTTCACATTTTAAAACTTATACTTTTATGATACTTATTTTTTAAAATACAAATTTGTTGAAAATGAAATAATCTCTTTAGTCAACCATTTCATGTAAGAAGGAATACATGCTGTTGCGCTTGGACCATCTTCTAGACTAAATCTGTGGTTGCAAAACTGCTCGCAAAATGAAGCTAAGTGCATATGTGTGCTTTTTCTATGGCCGGTTATGTAAGGAATCGCTGTGCCGGCTTCTGCCCCATTTCGAGCAAAACCCGCTTTGGCTTCGTTTTCCATTTCATTTGCACCAACCAAAACGTAGTCGGGGATGGGGATGGGGATTGGGATTGGGATGGAGATGGAGACGGGAACCGAGATCTCGATCTGGAACGAGTCTTAGCCTGGTCAGCTTCTCTACACTCTCGATTGCAAAACTCACACGCGTTTAATGAAAGCGAAGCGGGAAAAGTTTACTCAATCAGTTGGCCTAAGCATTTTCATTCAGTTTCCTTTTACACAGAATTCAACATACGAAAACTGAAACGAAGATTATCGGTTAAATTGTAATAGTAAATTAGTTTATGTTTTATTAGTTTTTTGCAATGATTTGCCTATCACGTCTGGTCATAATAAACTTGCCAAGTGTCTGGCAACCAACTCGCAGCACGCATTCTGAGAAGAACGATTCAAAACGCAAGAGTAAGTGTTCAATGTTGTCTCCAAAATTGAATATATATTAATTTTTAAATCCGTTTAGCTTCTGAGCAACAAGCTGGCCTGAGGGATTTCCAGAGTCCTTTACAGTTCCATACCAAAAGAGGCTATATAAAGTGGTTCAGCAGACTGAGTCGCTGCCACAGAGCTCATAACTTTCCGGGACGAATGCATTCCAGATTTTAGATTCGAATTAAGAGAGGAATTAAAGCTGTTGCTCTTGGTTTGAATTTCACTTTCACACTTTTTTTATCCTGTTCGCCTCCGTTAGTTGATTGGCAATTAAGATTGCATCTGGTGCATAGATTAGCTCACGTCGGTGACCCATATTCGGAGTGGCTCAGCTGGGAGCCGGTTGTCGGACTGGCTGGCCAAAGCCGCATAAGTTGGTCAGTGGTGCGATTGCACCGTGACATGGCAAATGGCCACCAGTTGGCCAGATTCGAACTCCTTTTGCCGCCTTTCTAGAGTCGCTTTCCTTGTTTCTCTCTCGGCTTTTATCTGGCCCCGAGGCAAATTAGTCAAATGGTAACAATTATATAATAATCTAGTTATACTTGGGCACCGAGTGGCCGAGTGGCCGAATGGCCGAATGGCCCAGTATCCCGGTGAGAAGTGGGCGTTGCATGTTTGCCTTTCACTTTTTTTTCGGGATCGGCCAGCTGTGCCAGGATATATATCAAACGGCACGATTATACAATAGCCCGATCACCGGATCGGCACGTAATTAGTCGCCTTAAACTGCGCCAAACAATTGCAAACGGCCTGCATGTTTGAATGTTCTCCGAAACTCCGCTTCGCAATTAAGACATTATTCAATTTGTGACATTCGCGAGAAAAAAGAAACTGTAACAAGAGCTCGAAAAACAATTAACTGCATTTTGGCGATTTCCCAAAGCGATGTTCTAATTTTGCAACCGAAAGCGAACAAAAAAAAAAAAATGCCTCGCTGGGCCCAAAGTTGTGAACATTTAATGAGCACCAAAATCGTAAATTTAATTTATATCGTTTTCTAAGCTTTTTGTCAGACGACAAATTTCGTAATTTTTTTTCGTTTTTGTTTTTGTTTTTGTTGGCTGTTGTTGCTGTTATTGTTGCTATTGCTGATTCGTGTAAACTGTGCCGACTCGGCATGGAGCTTTGGACTCGGACCCTGGTTGCATGTCAAAGGCGCATGAAACGCCGCCAGCCTGCCACAAGAATCAAATGACACTCGGCCTGGTCCATTTTGGCTGCTCAAAAAAGCTGCGCTGCACTGCAGTAAAAAAGTATCCATGCAGCGGGGTATGATCTGGTCAAAATACCCAGCAGTGTGTAGCCTTAATTGGCACCTCGACACTTGGCCAGGACCGAATCGAATCGAATAGAATCGAATCGAGTCAAATCGAATGGCATGGCTGTGTAGGTGCACTTGATGGCCAACTCTGGTGTGAGTGAGTGTGAGATTTATGTTCTGGCCCGCTCTGCTTTGGGTATTCATTGCCCAACTGGCAGTGCGGAACACCGACTTGGCCAACCAAGTGCTCGACGGCTTCTGGGCAGTTGGAAGTTGCAAGTTGGCACTTTGGTAGCAGCGGTGCCGCTCTATGATAAAGTATCCACGCCAATGGTCACGCAATAAATTTTGACACGACTTACGCATGTCCGAAATGGCCGACGGGGGCAATAGATATAAGTGGTGGCCATTATGTAGATCTAAATTATCACAAAAATCAAATAACACTTATGCAACATTTATGTAAATATGTAAGCAAGCAAAGGCCACACGGCGTATGAGTAATAAACATGAGAATATTTCGGAAGGGAGAGTTTTTATTATATTATTACAGGTTCATAGAAACCATCTTTAAGCTTACACTGAAATTTATTTGTATAGACTATCTGAATAAAAATGTTCTTAATCTTGGTGCTTATATCCTTTTTAAACATATTTGTCTATTAACATTTTGGCCTTGAATATATGTTTCACTACAAGAAACCTTTATAAAAACATAGAGAAAAAATATTTAAAGCGGCTAAAGAAACTAAATTATACTTTTTTTAAAGGAAACCCATCTATTATTTCTTGAATAAATTTGTATTTATTAAAAAAATATTTTCTCGTTCTTAAAAAATTATCCATACTAAAACACATCCCCTTTCCCTTCCAACGACGCACCTTTAATTGCAGCTTTGCCCCAGAAATGTCAGTGATTAGCCAAGAATTTAATTTGGCTGCACCTTCGCCTCCAACATCAGCCAATTTCCAACTGCGTAGTGGCTTTGCGAAGAGCCGCCCACCTGGCAAATATATGAAAATAATAAAAGTCCAATTTCCAATAACTCAATTACAATACAAATGCGAAGGTTTGAGACTCGCTGTATTGCTGGCAGAAACATCTATAAAGATCGTAATTAAAAAGCAGTTAAACAGACGACAGTAATTAAACACACAATCGCACGAGGCGAGAGCACCAATTATATTTGCCGTTTGTTGAGATTCGACGATAAAAGCCAGTGGTAATTGACATTTAAGGCAATTCATTAACGCGGCTAACACATGTGAGTGAAAAAGTTAAAGTTAAATACTAAATACCAGGTGGAACACTAAATAAAAACAAAAAAAAAAGAGAAACAAGAATAACGTGGTTATTCATGCACTAGATTTCGGGATATGGGTTTTTTATTTACATGCGCGAGTAAAAAATGTTGTCTTGATTTTTTCCAATTTTTCCCCACACATTTGCATACAGGTTGCCAAGTAGTCGGCGCCACAATTCTCTTGGGTTCCCAGCCTCCAGCCTTCAGTTAAGCTCGAAGATTTCGGAGACCCGAGTTGTTAGCAGCAATTATTGTAACTTGCGGACGGGCTGCATAAATCAGCTTAATTGCTATATTTAAATTCTAAATTTGGAGCTTTGGCCAAGTGCGCTGTCTAGTTGTGCAAGTGACACGGCCAGCGTCCATTTGGGTCTGCAAATGTAATTTATGCATGGCTTTATGCAGCAATTGTAATTTATGCTAATTAATATGTGCTTGATGGTGGTCTAAAGGAAGTGGTCTTTTTATTTGTGTTATGCATATTCATTTAATGTAAGGTTGGTAGAAACATGATTGCAACATTTTATGGTATGATTTATATATGATATTTTGATGTTGATTATTTTAAGTAAACTAATTTTAAGTAACATATTCTATAAAACTACTATATTTAAATTCATTGTTTTTATTTCTAGGATCCTAAGTGGAACCTTAGTAGGTCCTTGTTCGGTCCTTTCACGATCCTTTAAAGAGTTGAACAATAGTAAACTAGACCTAGAGATTTTAACGTTGTTCAACTTCAAATTTAGACAAATCCAATTTAAAAACCCCACTCCCACTTGTATACCGGTAAAACGGTCGTTTTTAAAAATTCAAATTTGATTAAGCAATCGATAATTCGGTATATAGTGGAGACATCCTCCACATTTAGCTAAGACATCATCCATTTGTCTGGTATTCATTTTATGGTATATTTACCAAAATATAAATAGTATATTTTTAGCGCCGGACGGTATAAATTATCGATAGTTCCGCGGTCACACTGTCCGCCATTTTACGCTGACAATTTTTTCGCAAGATTGGAGAAAATAGTTCGTGCTCGAGTAGAATGTAAATAGTTTTAGATTTCATCCACGGACGACTACGAGCAAAGGCAATTATCTTGCTAATTGTTTTGAGGGAGAGATTCCCCGGTAAAAGCGAGGAGAAGCACGCCGGTTTTGCTCCGGCTTGCTCTGAAAACTGTACGAAGCGTGAGTGCGAGTGCGACAGAGACGGAACGAGTGCCGAGTGTGTGTGTGCGTGCGAAAGTTGGAAAAGCGGCGAAAAATCAGTTATTACGCCTAGCAAGAGTTCATTTTCCGGCTCAACATGGCCGACGTGGTCTTGGATCTGTACGCGGAGGACCTAGACAAGGACTTTGCCGGGCAGGCTCAGGTAAGCCACCGAAAAAAGGAGTCCCTTTCCGGGCGCGTGTGTATGTATACACTAGGGTGGATCGATGTGCCGAAAAAAGTCGTTAAGGGGTGAACGCTATTTTGAGGGGATTCAGCAAGTAGTAACCTTCAAACATGAGTTCTTAAATCTTGGTTATAGCAACATATATCTAAGCTCATGCTGCCTTAAAAGCTAGGGAGGATTTAAACACATGGTGTTTTCGAGATTAGACTTCTTAAATTTTAGCTTGAAAATTCAGACACATGTTAATCTAGAAGCTGAAATTAAGGAATTCATTTAATTTAAAGGAAAGAAAGGAATGATGAGTAACCAAATTATATTCATTTTTTTTTTCCATTTAGTTGTTCTGCAAAATAACCTGCTCACTTTTCGTTAACCCATACACTAACTTTCTTTTTCCTTACAGGACGAATTTGGTGGCGATGGCGTGGACTTGTACGATGACATAGGCGGTCCCACAGAGGCTGCCGCTTCCGGTGGTGGGGGCGGCGGCACGCCGTCCGCAGATGGAGCAGCCGGACCGGGCTCCGGGGACTCGGGCGAACGGATTTCAGGCGGTCCTAATGGAGTTTACCATCAGAGCGGTGGTAGCCTCACTCCGACCATGAACCGCCGCTACCAGCTGTACGTGGGTAATCTCACCTGGTGGACCACCGACCAGGACATCGCCAATTCGCTGCGGGACATTGGTGTGAATGATCTGCAGGAGGTGAAGTTCTTCGAGAACCGGGCCAATGGGCAGTCGAAGGGCTTCAGCGTCATCTCGCTCGGTTCGGAGTCCAGCCTGCGCGCCGTGCTTGACCAGCTGCCCAAGAAGGAGATGCACGGCCAGGCACCGGTGGTCACGTACCCCAGCAAGCAGGCGCTCACCCAGTTCGAGAGTCTGCAGAAGACGCGCCCGGTCCCGCCGCCGCAGCAGAATGGACCACCGAGGGGTCCGGCACCGCCCAGCATGGGTGGCGGACCAATGCCCTCTGGACATCCGGGCGGACCGCAGGGAGGTGGACCGCCTGGCCATCCGCCGCGGGGTATGAACACCATCATGCAGCCGGGCCAGTACCGGCCGCAGCACATGTCGCAGGTGCCCCAGGTGGGCGGACCCAACTCCGGACCTCCACGAATGCAGGTGTGTTTTCATTTCACTGGCCCCCGCATTGCCCTAATAGGTCTCATTGTTCGTAGAAACACCGCTCGGGTCTTATTTGTTTTGTTTCTACATTCCTACACATTTTATAATTTTCCGATTTTCATCAAAATTGTTCTGAATGCAAAATTTCCTTACTTAAGTAAAATTAGAAAACCTAGTTATACGACTTGATATGTAGTTTATAGACGAATATATCATATTGCTGTTGATCGTTCTAACTATTCGACAGTTTCTCACAGTTCTTTTGTACACTTTTTTGTAAACTAAACTCATGCCTTCGTACAAACAAGTTTCTAGCAACAAAAAAAAATTATGTGACTTGTTATGTGATTTATAAATGGTTGAGTTCCAACACTGTTCTTAAAATTTTGTACATTTTTAAACTAAACTCAAGCTGTCGTACGTACTAAGTTTCTAAGTTTGTTGGTGTTTATGATTTTAAGTACTTTATATAGTAAATTATTTCGGTTTATATATGATTATTTCAGAGCAATTTTCGTAGCACTCCTCAGCGTAAGACATTTTGTATTCTATTATTTTTCTTTGCATTAGTTATAAACCCTTAGTCATGAACAAAAAAACTGTAATAATTTGAAATCGAGCGTCAGAAAGGCATTAAGTGCCCCCAATTAGGCTATACCTTTTGATTTAATTCTGTTAATGTATCTTCTTACGAGTATCTGTAATTGTAAAAAAAAAACCGCTATTGTTATACAAAATGTTTATGTATTACGATTTACGTTCTATTCCATGTCTTTGACAACGCTTACGCACACTTCTACCCCACAACAACAACTACTACTCCAACATAAACGTAATACGTATTAATATAGCCGCCGATGCATCCGCAAGGCGGGCTCATGGGCAACCAACAGCCGCCACCCCGGTATCCGTCAGCGCAGGGCCAATGGCCAGGTCAGCGGCCAGGCGGACCACGACCAGGTCCACCGAACGGACCGCCTCAACGACCAATGGTAACAATCCCCAAAGCACTGAGTCCTTTGTAATCTATGCCATTACTATATACTCTAAAGCAAGAAACCGAGAGAGAAACGAAGACTAACCGAACTTAAGTTAACCTTAGTTAACTTAGTCTTAAGCGATGTATTCAGAACATTTAAAGTAATTCCACAGATCAGTCCATGCAACACCCACTCATATCCTAGCTAAGACATGTATGCCCTCCTCAGGAACAGTAACTAATCCCAATATTTTCGCCTTGCAGTTCCAAGGAGGACCCATGGGCATGCCCGTAAGGGGTCCGCCGGGTCCCGACTGGCGCCGTCCGCCCATGCACGGTGGTTTCCCGCCGCAGGGCCCACCTCGCGGCCTTCCGCCAGCGCCAGGACAGGGCGGACCGCACGGCGCCCCCGCACCCCACGTGAATCCGGCGTTCTTCAACCAGCCCGGCGGCCCTGCCCAGCATCCGGGCATGGGTGGCCCGCCCCACGGAGCCCCCGGTCCACAGCCTGGCATGAACATGCCACCGCAACAGGGCATGAACATGCCGCCGCAGCACGGACCGCCGCCTCAGTTCGCCCAGCATGGACCGCGTGGTCCGTGGCCGCCACCGCAGGGTAAGCCACCGGGTCCCTTCCCCGACCCTCAGCAGATGGGTCCACAACTGACGGAGGTGGAGTTCGAGGAGGTGATGAGCAGAAATCGCACAGTCAGCAGTTCAGCGATCGCCAGGTGAGTGCTAAAAGTCCGCGAATTTTTATGAAATTATTATAATTTAATTACGACTATCAGACGACTGAAAAAGTTAATCATATTAATTTTAACATAATATCAATCTTCAAACATGGTTAACAAATTGGGTCATACACTATTTATTTTATTACAAATTCATTGCGTGGTTCAAACATGAGTCGAATTAAAAAACAATGTTTAAAGTTAAAATTAAAAAAGAGTCTGCATCAAAATTAAATTAATTACAATTCATCGCATAACAATTCGTTCATTTCAAAGATTTTACTTTGTTTTATTGAAAAATCTTTCCTCGTACCTTTGTTTGCGTTGCGGTTTTTTGTTAACACTTTCGAGAAGCCCGTTTTCTATGCTAATTTATGCGTTCCAATTCTATGATTTCAGAGCTGTTTCTGATGCGGCCGCTGGAGAATATTCGAGCGCCATCGAAACGCTGGTCACAGCCATTTCGCTGATCAAACAGTCCAAGGTTGCGCATGACGAGCGCTGCAAGATCCTGATCAGCTCGCTGCAGGACACGCTGCACGGCATCGAGGCCAAGAGCTACAACAGGCGCGAGAGGTCGCGGTCCAGGGAGCGATCCCATCGCAGCCGGCAACGGCGTGAGCGATCCACTTCGAGGTACCGCGAGCGTTCTCGGGAGCGAGAACGCGATCGGGATCGTGAGCGTGAGCGTGATGGCGGGTAAGCTCAATATTATGACATCATTTAATGTTCACATAAACATACGTACAACTTTTATGGCTTTGCAGCAGCTATCGGGAGCGGTCACGCAGCAGAGAAAGGGAACGTCAGGCTCCAGATCACTACAGAGATGACAGGTAAAGAAATTCGACTGCATATAATTCGTTTCGCTGTCTCATTTAAAAGTTGGAGATAAATTATTTATTTTTCTACATTTAATAACTTTGCTCTCATAACCACATGTCAAAATTTGATTTTAAAACCGATTTTCTGATGTATTTTTGCAGTAAAACTCAGAAAAATTCAAAATTTGTGAAGTCTAAGACTTATTTGTAAAACGTAAAACGTTTATTTTTTAACATTACTTGTATAATCTTCCATTGATAAAAAGTGTAATGTATTTATCTTATTGCATTTTATATTTTTAAAAAATGTCAAATCATTAAGAAAAAAGAAACTAAACAAACCTTAAGTAGTAGGTTCCTTGCAAAGAACTTTCAGTATCTAAAACTTAAAAATCTCCACCAAAAAATAGAGAGAAATGTTTGAAACGAAAATACATTCTGAAATGTGTTAGCTTAATAAGCTTAAATTAATTGAAAGACTCACGATACGTCCAACCAAATGTGAAAATAGCAGGCGAATTATTCTTTAATTCCAAGTGTGAACAGAAAGTTAATTTGCATCCCATTCTCCGACAACAGCCGATCGGTACGTCCGCGAAAGTCACCGGAGCCCGTGGTCGCCGAGGCTGCAGAGGCGCCATCATCGAAGCGCTACTATGAGGACCGCGAGCGATACCGCTCCTCGGACCGGGAGCGGCGGGATCGGGATCGGGACCGTGACCGCGAGAGGGAGCGCGACCGCGACAGGCGCGAGGAGCACCGTTCCCGGCATTGACTGCCGTAAATGGAGGAGTTCGAGCAGCGCCAGTGGATCGTAATCAAGAGTAAAGATGAAACGCAGATAACAGATAACTAAACACACTCTATTAACAAACAATAAGCCGCAGCTTTGTGGGAGGACAAGCTAGCCACAATTAACAGATTTTCGATTTGTATCTAACATTACCAATACGTAGGATATGAATATGGCATACAGCATAGTTCTCCTAGACATACTAAAATAAGCCGAAATGCTGACAAGATTTTACCAACGACGGACGAGGACTGCCTCTGGATATCTCCGACTTCTCATCCCAGCATCCTGGCAGCAGCAAAAGCGACACCGAAGTAAGCAGCAGGAGGATCGGTCGAGGAGGCAATGGGACATCTAGCGTTGGACGTTTTAGACATTGGTGGGCACTGGATCATCAAACAACAAACACCTAGCAGTCCTGCAACGCCGTCGCAGCAGAATTTCAATATTATTGTACTCTAAAATTTCGGTTTATTTAATAAAACATAAACGTATGAAAAAAGAATTGTTCCAGAAAAAAAAACCATCTACAAAAACTGTGTTGAATTGTGTGTCTTTTTGTACTCTTATTACAAAAACCAAACCTAAAATTATTAGTTAATGAATTTATAATTGTACAACAACATTGTATGTAAAAATACCAAAACTATTATTGCACTTGTGCGTGCAATTAAAATTGAAATTGTTATATTAACAAAATCATTCCGCCGACTGAGGCTGAAAATCGTTAGGCCTAATGTATTTTCAATGATTTCGCGATTCTTTTGTTGTAAACATCCCCCATGCATTTGTTTAAACATGTTTTTATTTATCATATAAATTTAAGTCGATCATAGTTGTGTGCCTGTGACTGAGTGTGAGTGGAATTGTAGCATTTGAATGCCGACTGACCCCATCCTCAAATACGGATGGGGAATCCATAGTGAAATATGTTTGTATAGAATAAGTCGAGTGTATGATTTTTTGGCAAAATACGATAACTTTAGACTAAATTAGTCTATAAACAAGTCCTAAACGCATTTAGCGTAGTTTACTTTACTAACGCTCGAATTTGATGTAGTTCCTAACATAGATTCAAAGAAAAAACGAAGTTGTTTAGATCCCACCGAGATACTGTACTACTCGCGGCTCATTTTACTAAACTTAGCTTTCCAATTGTATCATCTACATTTTACTTTTTTAAATTTTAGCTTTACTTTTTATTTGTACATACATTTTGTAAACGATACTCGACTAAGATCATGTCGCACTAAACCCGAATTACAATTACACCTCTGTATACGCAACTCTACGATTTAAAAGTACCTGTAACTCTCCGCAGAGCGGGAGCCTAAAGGTGTTATGAGTATTATGAGCTTACAATTTTTGACTGAGATTGTGATATTGATGAAACAAAGTACATATGAAATTACATATAGAAACGAATACTGTCTGTTAAGTCATGCCATATCAGGTAAAGTTGTCCTATTTCTATGGGACTCTATATATAGTTTGTAAACTTTTTGGAGATCCTTTGTTTTACAAATAATTAAGAGGATCTTAAGTCAAATCCTGGATATACTTTATGATTTACAAAATACCTATAACTTTGCACTATGTTTTTAGAAAATACGTCAATTGACTTGTTTGGATCTAGCGCAAAATAAAAAACTTATTTTATTAGACGTATCGAACTTCGTTACTTTTCAAATGGAAAGTATGACGAGCGCACCTCACACGTCATTAATACAACCATCTGGAAGGTTCGTAAAATTTAACCGTTAACCAGCACTGACGCAGGTAAAAAAGCCAAAACATTCCCTTATCACCAGTGTTGACGGAATTTTGATTTTTCTAGCAAAAAGATATTCCATAACTGATACTGGTGATTCAAATAAAAGTCTGGTTTTTCTTACTACTCTCAAAGCCGCTGATGGACCAACACTTTTCATTTTCCAAAATAGGGAGTTAAGAGGCGAAAGTAATTCCAATATTATTTATACTTAGGATATTGAGGATCAGTTTTTGCCGATTATTTAAAAGGATTAAATAAATTTAAAAAGGCTTTTAAAGTACAAGCTAAATATAGCTGTAAAAAGCTAAGCTATCATCTTTCGCTGCAGCAACTGCAGAGTTACCCAACACTGAAACCTGATAAAGGCGAAGAAAATTTTGTGAAATACAGAAAGGAAAACGAGAAAAAAGAGACTAGCTGAAGTAGGCGCACCAAAACAAACAGTCAGATATAAAACTTCGACCTCAACAGTTCGCATTCTCCTCCGTTTGATCCAGAATTTAAACTTTAACCGGAAAGTAGGAACATAAAGTTCTAGAAAAGAAAGACCATTATGGCAGACACTGCAAATTTCATTCACGAACGATTCCAGACGTTTATGAACGGCCTCGGTGACCGTTAGTAAGTATTACGTGCCGATGGGTCATCGCAAAGCGCAAAGTCTTGGGTTCAACTGCGTCACACTGACGTGTTGTTTTGGTATCCAACCACATCAACAGTTGGTCGACCACCGGATCGATGGGCCTTGAAACTAATGGTATACTTATGACTCCTCCTCCTCTTCCTTCCTTGCCCCCAGTGAGCCCTACGTGCGCGAGCACCTGTCCAAGGTTTACATGGTCCTGGGCAGCACTGCCGCCGCCACGGCCATGGGAGCCCTGCTCCAGATGCGCGGCTTCCTCGATCTGGGAGTCCTGGCGGCGGTGGCCACACTGATCCTGGTCCTGGGCCTGCACTTCTACAAAGACGATGGCAAGAACTACTACACACGACTGAGCATGCTCTACGCATTCGGATTCTGCTCTGGCCAGACCCTCGGACCGCTCCTCGGCTATATATGCAGCATTAATCCGGCCATTATCCTATCGGCCCTCACCGGCACCTTTGTCACCTTCGTCACGCTCTCCCTGGCCGCCCTCTTGGCCGAGCAGGGCAAGTACCTGTACCTGGGCGGAATGCTGGTCAGCGTCATCAACACCATGGCCCTATTGAGTCTCTTCAACATGGTGTTCAAGTCATATTTCGTGCAAGTGGTGAGTGAAACATATTTCTACTTTTCAAATCTTTTTAAGTCTTATTACCTATTATTAAATATAAAATATACATTTTTATAGACTCAACTCTACGTCGGTGTTTTCGTGATGGCAGCCTTCATCGTCTATGACACCCAGAACATCGTGGAGAAGTGCCGGAACGGAAACCGAGATGTGGTGCAGCATGCCCTAGATCTGTTCTTCGATGTGCTTAGCATGTTCCGTCGTTTGCTGATTATCCTGACACAAAAGGTAGGTCATCAGGACTGGGCTAACTCCACCGATCAATTGCTGTATAGCCAACTTCACTCAGCTCAAGACTTTCATGGTTTAAGGCGATTAACGCCCAATCGAATCGGCCGAATTATCTTGGTCAGATAATCCTTGAACAGTCGCTAATCACTTTGCAAAAGCTTTCCAAAATGAAATTCGCTGTGATAAACCATTTCAAACGGTATTTCATGCAGCCAAGGCAATAAGTATACTTTCACAAAGTCAGGCTAGGATCCTCGGATGTTTGTAAACACTTGTGGGAAGTATATTTATTTCCGGGAACTGCGAATGGAACTTTTTGCAAAGTTTTCTAGCTGTTTGTGAAACTATATTTGTGACCTTGGCTTTGAAAACAATGGGAAATAAATAGTAATACTCATTATTTTTTGCAGGAGGAGCGTAAACAGAATGAACGTCGCAAGAGAAACTAAGTCAATCTTTAAACAAGCCCAACCAGCAAAACAAAACATCTGGCGAGGGAAAAGGCGGTTGGTAGTTATCTCTTTCTAAAAATTTATTCGCATATAAATTATAAAGGGCCGTGTACATTTGGCTTTAAATTTACACACAACTGTTCAATATGAAACCCATGCAAATTCCCTATTCAATAAATACCACAAAAAGTCAGCTCATCCGCATTATAGTCGCAAATGGAGTTGACCAAACACGGCGCACTAGATTGACCATGTTGATAGTATCGATTGGGGGTTGGAGGGCCATTTAATTAGGCTAAGTGCAAGCTGCAGGTAATAGCTAAACGTTGGACGAAGTTGGTCATTCGAAGTTTTAGTTTCCAACGGACAGGATGGCGCAGACGGAGGATACAGTGCAACCCCTATTGCAGCAGTTTCAGCAGCTGTTCTTCATATCAAAGATAGCCGGGATTCTGCCGCAAGATCTGGAGAAGTTTCGCTCCCGGAATCGGATGGAGAAATCTCGCAATGGCATGATCTACATGATTGGCACTCTTATCGTCTACGTTTTGGCCTACAATTTTCTAATCTACTCCTTCGGGGAGGAGGACCGAACTCTCAAAGCCTCGCAGAGTCAGTGAAGCATAACCCATGGAAGGGGTAAACTCATTACCTAGTTTTTTTCCTTCTCAGGCACCTTGACCTTTGTGATTGGCTTGTTCCTGACCTATATTGGGCTCATCATGATGGCCAGCGACCAGTTGACCGCCCTACGAAACCAGGGCAGGATTGGTGATATTTACGAGCGCATCCGTCTGGTGGACGAGCGTCTGTACAAGGAGAACTGTGTGATGGACAATAGTACCATTGGTCGGCGCATCCGGATCATGCTCGTCATGACGGTCATCTTTGAGTTGTCCATTTTGCTGGCCACGTATCTCAAGCTAGTCGACTACTCGCAATGGATGTCCTTGCTGTGGCTAGTGTCGGCTATTCCCACGTTCATTAACACGCTGGACAAGATCTGGTTTGCTGTTTCGCTTTATGCATTGAAAGAGCGTTTTGAGGCCATCAATGCTACGCTGGAGGAGCTGGTGGACACACACGAGAAGTATAAGCTGTGGCTCCAAGGCGGCCGGGATGTCCCACCTCCGTTGGATAGCTCCCAGCCGCCTCAGTATGACAGCAATCTGGAGTATCTGTACAAGGAACTTGGAGGCCTGGACATGGGTTCTATTGGAAAGAATTCGGTGTCGGGCTCGGGAAAGAATAAGGTGGCTCCCGTGGCCCACTCCATGAACTCTTTTGGAGAACCAATCAATGCGGCCACCGGTAAGCCTCCACCCAACCCCTTGGCCCCCAATTTGGTCCACGAAAGCGAACTGGGAAATGCTGCCAAAGTAGAGGACAAGCTAAACACTCTGTGCCAGGTGCACGACGAGATCTGCGAGATTGGCAAGGCTATGAACGAGTTGTGGAGCTATCCCATCCTGTCGTTGATGGCCTATGGGTTCCTGATTTTTACGGCTCAATTGTATTTCCTTTACTGCGCCACACAGTTCCAGTCGATTCCCTCACTGTTCCGCTCCGCCAAGAATCCTTTCATCACGGTCATCGTCCTGAGTTATACGTCCGGAAAGTGTGTGTACCTCATCTACCTGAGCTGGAAGACTTCGCAGGCCTCCAAGCGCACTGGCATCAGTCTGCACAAGTGCGGTGTGGTGGCAGATGACAATCTTCTCTACGAAATAGTAAACCACTTGTCGCTGAAGCTGCTCAACCACTCGGTGGACTTTTCTGCCTGCGGCTTCTTCACTCTGGACATGGAGACACTGTATGGCGTGAGTGGCGGGATCACCAGCTACCTGATCATTCTGATCCAGTTCAATTTGGCCGCCCAGCAGGCCAAAGAGGCCATCCAGACGTTCAACTCGCTGAATGATACCGCCGGCTTGGTTGGTGCCGCCACCGATATGGATAATGGCAGCTCCACGCTGCACGACCTGGTGACCACCACCATGCTTACGCCGGCGGGCTAAAGCTACGCGTTTTTGAATTTTTCAATATTTAGAGCACCTCCTGGCACTTTTATTTTTGGCTTTGGCACTAAATAAACTCTCACAAAGCAACTCGGCGTTTATATTCGGCACGAGCATCCTCGACTTCTTTGAGAAGATCAGCATATATGGCATTAGCTCCATCGAAGTCTAGTATGGCCACGCAGGAGATCTGTCCCCGCTTTTGTAGGGCATATGCTAGCTCCCTTCTGACCAGAGGGAAGCAATAGGTCACTTTTTGCTGCTGGCACTGAAATTTCAAGCCCTCTATGGTCTCATCCAGACCACCTACAAAACGAAATTGTTATCTATTGTCTTCCAAATGTTTGGGTTACTCACTTTCTCCCGGACAGATCTCACAATCGGTGGCCAGGAGTAGCAGTTTCACCTTGTTGATCCTCAGCCTGGCCAGAGCCTCGCGAAAACCCAAAACCAAACGGGGATGTGCACGGGCTTTGATCTCGTTTTTGGCAAATGCACGCTTCTGGAAGCGATCCAAGTCCTTGAGCAGCTGGATGGTCAACTCCTTGAGGCGCGGGCGGGTGCAATTGTCGCAATAGCTGGAGAGGATTATAAATGATATCTTTAAGGAGTATAAACGCGAAGAGCAAACCTTCTGAAGCGTCGTGAGTGTATGGAATGAGTTTCCTTTGCTTGAGGACTGTTTTTGGGAGCGGGCTCATTCAGAGTTAGCTTCTGGACATGTTGTTCCACAGGAATAGCATCTTCATGGATCTCTGGACAACCTGCCACGAGTTCATCAGTTTCCTTTTCAGCGACTTCCCTATCAGCCCTTTTCAAAGTGCGATAGCTACGTACGGACTTCTTTAATTTCGTAACCTTTATCTTGGGATCGAGACGCGTTTTGCCCTTGGATTTGGTTGCTATATAGATACTCCTTGTTATGATTAAATGTGGCTTTCTGGTTTTTCTGGCCTTGATCTGCCGCTGCGTTGGCCGCTTGACGACGAAGTCCAGGAGCGACGCTTGCTGCTCCGGTTTCCTGTGCTTGTTTTTGTACTTGGAGCTTCGCGGAGTGTTCCTGGTCTCTGTGCTTTTATCATCGTTTTTGCTAATTTTCTGGTAAGTGCATTGGTCTATAAGGTTTATTTTGTCGGAATTTCGGGACATTTTTGCTGGAGCATCTCTAAAGCAGTGTTGATCAACGCTTTAATGTTGTTCAGCCGTTTTCACCACACTTGATAACAAAAAGGCAGTGCTGGCAAACAAATGTAGCCGTCCCATAAAAAGGGGAAACCCAGAATAATACTCATCATTTGTCTTCAGAAGCTCCACCATTCACAGTTCTTAATTTGGTTTCCAAGTAAAAATGAGCTTTGCTTCGCATTTGCAAACGATTTTGGAGAAATTGTTAATTTCTGATAAAAGCCGGGCCGTTTATACAAAAGACGCTGAGGAAATTCAAAATTATGTGGTAGAGGAACTAAAACGAGTAGACGCCACTTTTCGCAACGTTTTCGACGGACTAAGCCTGGGTGGTAAGTAATTTGATATTAAACAATCGAGTTTTGTGAACTTGTGAGCAACCGACACAAATCCATCAAATAAAATATTATTTTAAAGTTCTCAGAATCGACAGAAAGCCAATAAAACGTTGCAAACTTACATACTTATAAGTTGTAACCCCTTAGGGGGTTTTTTTTACCCTCGTAATTACAAGAGATAACCAAAGTTATCAGTTTGAACTACTCCAACGTGCAGTTTCCCATGAAATGTATTTTTTATTGTGAATTTTATGTGTGATCGAAATATTGACCTTGAGGGGCCTGATTATAGAGTGTACACATTAAATTGATAAATTCCTTCATTATTATATCAATTTTTCCAAGAAAAAAATGTAGTTATAAAAAGTATTTTTATTTATAGGAAGCTACTTGGACCGCGTGAAACTGGACGTTCCCGATGAATTTGACTTGCACATGAAACTCAAATTTCCATTTGATATCAGCCCGAATTCTGCAAGTATCAATGATGGGTTTATCTATTTGGAGGGAACTTTGATTGTAGCACCGTGCCAACGCATCCATCGCCTTCAAGTTCAAGATTGGTTGCGCAATGCATTCCATAAGGTGTTCGAGTCATATCCAACGTTTACCAGCTCCAGTGGCCAAACTTACAAATTAAGATACACTCTTGAGGGATATGGCTGTGCCCATACAATTGTAGCCGTAGGCAAAAGTCGCTCCATTTCTTTCGATTTGGTGCCGGCTTTTGAATTCACGGGACGGCAATGGCCACTTAAGGTTCCTCCAGTCCGTGCCGAGGTCCGCGCAAATTGGCCTTGGTTCGCTATTCCGCAAAAGATGCTGAAGTCAAAGGCTAAGACCACATTCATGGTTTGTGCACCCCACTGGGAGCGTGAAATGATGAAGGGTTCGGATAATTTGAAGAACGTGCTGCGTCTGATGAAAGGATTAAGGGACGCCCACGTTATGACGTTGCCGCACTTGTCCAGCTATATGTTGAAAACAGTGTTGCTCCTTCGAATTGACGAAGTTGACTGGCAAAGGGACTTAGGCACTCTTTTGGTGGAGATGTGGAGCCATTTGGTGGATCATCTACGAGCTGGCCGGCTGGAATTTTTCTGGGCAAGGGGACACAACATATTCGTGCGTATGAATCAGGTGGAAATTAAGAAATGCCTTAAAACTTCTGAGGTCCTGCTCCAGAAACTTCGTTCGGCTCAGTTGAATACGGGCTATCTTCATGTGGCAGATCTTTTCAATTTTTCAACATTCGTTGTTATTTAGATTGGAATGTTTTTGGATAACAACTTAATGTTTATTTTTTCCAAACTTCAGTCTCCACTGAGTTTGTTTACATATAAGAAAAAAGCTTATGTATGCGAAAACAATAAAATTGTTTGCCCGTCTCGGATGTCGAATAAATAAACAACTTGAAATATACCAAAGTTTCAATTTAACTCAAAATGATTTCTTTACATTCTTTGTTGTTGTTAATAAATTGATTTACCTTTTATTTATGTATAATTCGATACAACTATGAGTGTTAAATACCTTATGACGAGACAACTTTGAACTTACAAGCTACAAGTAAGCGGGTAGGCAGTTGCTTACCCTGGAATTATCAACGGTAAGTACTAGGTAAGAGTCTAGTTCGGAGGGAATTCGCTATAACCGAATGCTGCTCTCGATGGACATGTGCAAATCGTTGAACTCCTTGAGGTGGGAGAGTATGGCGTCCCGTTCCCGCTCGTAAATCTCCCAGAACTTCAGGTATTGGCTGACGTGCTGCAGGACCAGGTTGCGGGCAAAGTCTAGGCAGCTCCTCACGTTTCGCATCCGCCGCCTGCAGCTGGCCAGGACCGAACGCACCTGCTGCTCCGGCTCCAGTTGGGCGATCACAAAGGCGAATACGCTTTGGACATCAATTCGCACGTCGGTGGGGAACACTACGGATTCGGTGGGCTTTGCCTGCGGGAAGACAATCAGCGACGGCGAGATCGGCATGGCCAGTTCCCAGGGCAGATCGTTGGCCTGGCTATCGAAGCTAACGAAGTGCACTTCGGCGCTGCTCAGTAGCGCCGAAACCTGCAGGAACGCTTGCGACAAAACGCCAGATAGTGCGCAGTCCGGGCGATGCATAAATACCACGTTGGTGGCGTTAGGTTGCTGGAGCGCCTTGAGCAACATTTGCCTGTTGTATTTCCGGCTGTACCCCGAATCCATCGTAGCAGGCGCGTTCCTGTGAGTCCTGGGCAACGTTCTGGCGTAGAACTGCCGTATAAAATCCTTTAGTGCCACATACGAGAAGGTATGCTGCTGAGGCATCACGTACATCGACTCCTCCGCCGCATCCACAATGAAAACCTGAACCTGCTGATGGTGCTGCGGGATGCCGAGCTGATGCAGATAGTCCCGATACTTTACCGAATCAAAGATCACCACCCCCAGCGAACGATTGTGGGCGGCATGCTCTGCAGAGTGCTGCCAAATGAGTTGGCCATACTTGGTGACCATCTTGGCAATCCCGATCTTCATGGCCGGCGTTCCATGCTGCGAGTGAGCCAGGCAGAGATTCCGCGAGTGCAGCCTCAGCAGGAGGGGAACCTTTCGATTTCTTAGGTGATTGCTGTGAGCGAACTGCCTCCAAACGTGGTTTAGGTACGAGTTAATCCGATAATAGTTGGCCAACGTGGCTTGGCTTTTTCTCCAGATGGGATGGCAGCTCTGCGCTTGATCTGTGTCCCAAAACAGCTCTTTGGGAAATTGCATTAGTGAGAAGGAATCATTCGCCTGCTCCTCCGATGTGTTCCAGTAATCCTCGCACCCCTCAGACTGTTTCTTTTGAGCAGTGGCCATCTCCTCACCCATGACACTGGCATGGTGGTAGTGATTCATCCGCACACCCATGGCCAGCACGGGAACATGGCGCGCCTTCATGGCAATGGTCATGGGGGTGCCATATCCGTTGGAGAACAGTGACATGTTCTTTAGAGTGTTCCGCACCCAGCGCAGAATGTCCATTGTCTTCCAGTCACCGGAAGTACTGGTGAACGTATGCACTCCATTTCGACTGTCGATGACTATCAATTGGGGCAGTCTGGAGTCTGGCGCCTTCAGCATCTTATGGGCACTGCTGCCGAAGTTCACTGTGAAGCGGATATTCCTCTCCGGATCCAGTTCCAGCCAGCGCAGGCCAGCGGCCAGGTATCGCTTGAAGGCTGGATTGTCCGGCGAGTCTATCAGGCCCAGAACCACTGCATCCGAGTGTTTTCGGATGGCGGCAAGCTCCTGGCTGCTGTGCGCCCGGTCCAGCGGCTGCAGCAGGTGGTTCATGAACCGGGCCAGCTCCTCGAAGCTCCAAGCGCCCTGGTACTGCAGCATCTGCTTCTGGCCGTAGCGCACCACCAGAGTGGGCCATTTGTCCGGATAGCCGCCTGCTCCAACGACTCCGGGCGCCGGCATCAACGTGCGGCTGCAGTTGCACTGCAGATGCCAGCAGTCGATGGCCCCAAAGAAGGCGTACTCCTGGTAGTAGTGAGCCAGTCCATTGTACACCAGTCGGGCCTGCCGGGCTTCGCTGGCCCACGACACGTAGTAGAAAAGCAACGAGATCTCGGACTCGGCCGCTTCCGCTCGAATCTGGGACACACTGCGACCGGGGCACTCGCCGATGATCACCTGGTCGGATTTGGGGGACCTGGAGGCGTTCAACTGACCAACTGAGAGGGCCAAAAGCACCAGGTAAGCAATTATTTTCATTGCAACCGGTGCGAAGCTAATTGGTGGACAAAAACAACAACAGCCACCGCGCGAACAGATGTTCACAGAAATGCTGGTTACACTGCTAAATTGGCAGTGCTGGGAAACGTGTCAAAATCGTGGAACAGTTTGTGAACAGGCACTTAAAAGATATATTCAAAATTATTTTCAATGTTTACAATACGCTTAAAGTTTTTCAATCGTAGATAAGCTTTAGTTTTTATTTGGACGCAAATTAAAAATCTAATACAAACATTAACTTGTATAAAATAAATATATAAGAAGGCAATATATTTTAAAATTAAATAATTATACGCCTGATAAATAAGCTTTCTAATAATTTGTTAAGCCACATTAAATATATTAAACCATATGATAAGCAGGCAACGTTTTTCAACACCAATTGCCAGACGGTCCTTCTAGTCTCTACACACTGTCGCACACTGCCCGCCGTTATCGATAGCAACACTATCGATTCCAAGTGATGTTAATTAATCACTTTTACTGTTTACTTTTTTAATTAAAACTGCGTTAATTTAATTAACCACAACGGCAGCTCCTGACCCACTGCGAATTGTAAACGACCACGCATCAGTTGTTGCAACGAGAAAAAGGAAACCACTCAAAGGAAAACCACTAGGAAGTTGCCAATCAAACCCATCCAAAAAAATCAAGCAACAACAATAACTGGAGTGTGTTTTTGCGCGTGTGTGTGTGTGGGGAGTGCATAGTTAAATCAGTGAATAATTTACCGTTCGGCCTTCGCCTTCCCCTGAGGAAACAACAACAAAGTTTCACGTTCACTTACACCCACACACACATACGTACGCACCTCGCATTTGCACGCATACACACAGGCCAGCCAGCCGATAACCTGTGTGTGAGGCAATCGTCGTCATCGTCCGAAATCAAATCACCAATCGGTAAAAACAACAATAGCAGCTGCAGCATAATCAACAAATAAATATATAGGACTCCAATATGGGACTGTTATTATCGCGACTGTGGCGGATGTTTGGCAACGAGGAGCACAAGTTGGTGATGGTCGGTCTGGACAATGCGGGTAAAACGACTATCCTGTACCAGTTCCTCATGAACGAGGTGGTCCACACCAGTCCCACGATCGGTTCCAATGTGGAGGAGGTCGTTTGGCGGAATATCCACTTCCTGGTCTGGGATCTGGGCGGTCAGCAGAGCCTCCGAGCCGCCTGGAGCACCTACTACACGAACACAGAGCTGGTGATCATGGTCATCGACTCCACGGATCGGGAAAGGCTGGCCGTAACGCGGGAAGAGCTGTACCGAATGCTGCAGCACGAGGATCTGAGCAAGGCCAGCCTGCTGGTCTACGCCAACAAGCAGGACCTCAAGGGTTCCATGTCAGCGGCGGAAATATCGCGGCAACTGGACCTGACCTCTATCAAAAAGCACCAGTGGCACATTCAGGCCTGCTGCGCGCTCACTGGCGAAGGACTCTACCAAGGACTGGAGTGGATAGTGCAGCGCATCAAGAACAAATGACCCGCCACACGCTATACTAGCTAATTAATCATTAACAACTAGCTGACTAGAGAAAGTAAACCAATTTTGATATAAACAATTTTTAAGCGTTTCCAAATTGTTTGAAAAGTTGTTGCCAAGCCAATTTTATTTAGTGTAAAATACGTCTGATCGGGAGACCCCTCAACGATTTAAATCTACGTGTATATGGATAATGTCTAGGAGCTAAGCCAATTAACTACGATACTTCCAATAAAATTACAAAATAAACGAGTTTATTTCGACACTGTCGCGTATCAAATTGAATACAAATTACAAATAGAGAAGTGGACGCATGGACGTATTTGCCTCTCTGAGCATTGCCTTGTAATTGACATTGTTGGCTCGATTCGCTGATGTGTGAGATTGTTTGTACTCTATCGTCTAAAATAAATACATGGTTGTGTAAAAGTTAGTGTCTAGGATTAGGTTAAAACGTTAGCATACTAAAATATAGCCACACAAACAATTTGATCACAAAAGTAAAAGCAAAATAAAGAGCGGGGTCAGTGGGTCAAAGATCTAGGTGAGATTGCAGGAGCTGCTGCAGCTCTTTAAAGGCTTTCCCTGGCCCAAAGTTATTGTGTTTTCCGGCACCTCCTCCACATTGTTGGCGTCGTGCTGGCGCTGTCATAGGAGTATTATTAGTTTGGTTTACAGTAAGAGGAGGAATCCCACCTTAAGTTCGTTGGCCAGGCAGCGAAAGGCGTCCTCCACATTCATATTCTCCTTGGCAGATGTCTCCATCACGAACAGGATCTCAGGTATATATTGACACATCTGGCGCGCCTCCTCGAAGTCCACTTCACGCTGCTCCTCTAAGTCGCACTTGTTCCCAACCAGGATTATCAAAACATTGGAAGCCGTGTACCTGCGCACCTCCTCGATCCACTTTTGCAGGTTGGAGAAGGAAGACCGCTTGGTGATATCGTAAACTGCAAGAAAAACACATGGTTGTTTTAAGTAAACAAACACCCACTGATAAGGCGCTGCGCTATTAAAATCAGCGCCAGGCAATCATTTTAAAGCGTTCAGTAGTTATCAGTAGTACTTATTTGCCATGACAAATGGATGGGCGTAGGCCCCGAAACCGAAAGATACTGGACTCACCAATTAAGACCCCGTTGGCCGAGCGATAATAGCTCTGCGTAATAGTGCGAAACCTCTCCTGACCAGCAGTGTCCCAAATTTGCAGCTAAGAAAGTGAAAGGATATGAGTCATAAGAGGCTGAAAAGTTTGGTAATCCTATTCGCACCTTGATTTGCTTGCCCTCCACGGCAATGGTCTTCATGGAGAAGTCCACTCCGATGGTGTTCCCATGACGTTCTATGTAGTTTCCAGTTTTAAACCTGTCCACTATGCAAGTTTTCCCCGTCCCGCAGTCACCAATCAGGACAATCTTGAACAGAAAGTCGAAGTTCTCCTCGTTTGGCAGTGCCATCAGCGTCTGTGGATTACGGGCGGTCATCTTTTGGCCACCGTTCTGGCCGTTTACAGGTCTCCCTTGCCTGCGGCCCTTGTTTTGCAATGACAACAAAGAGTGAAGTAAAACTAAATTTAATTGATACGCAATATCAGCTGTTGGCTATCGATAGGTGGGTCATCGATATGTGCTTAAGATGTTTTTAATTTTGCTGTTTGATATCGAAAATAATTTTGTCATCTCTAAATGAAGTTGAGAGCTAAAATTCAAATTATGCTTTTTGTGGTAGTAGAAATTGAATATGAAAATTAATTAATTGTCTATAGTTTTATTACTGTGAAATTTGATAGAATTTTTCAATTAAAGGAAAATTATTTCAGAATCAGTTCACTTAATTTATATCAAAAAAGCTCATAACCTCTATTATTTATCTTAACTTTAAAAATTAATAGCAATAATATTGGAAAATATAAAAGATATATTTTAAGTTAGCTGTGAACATTATATTTTATTGTTTTAAAATTTCGACCACAGCCAATTTACACGATTTTCCAATACCGACATGCCAGCATGCACCAGTCATTTAGAAATGAAAATCTATTTTGTAGATTGTGACATTACGCAATAAAGCTGTAAATACGTTGACGATTTCTTTAAATGATATACAAATGGAAAGCCCACTTGCGTGCAAATCCATGTGAATCGGGGTACATAGCCCGATTAAGGCGGCGATCACGTAGGTCAGGTTTTCTGATAATGCTGGGGACTCCAATAAATTTTCACCACGTACCTTGATGATGGCGCCATTTGACGCTAAAGAGTTCGTTTTATGGGATTGTTAACATTTATGGTGTGTTTTCAAGAAATTCCACATGTTTTCCCCACGGAAATCTTTGCCAAATAGAGACCTTGACCCACATCTCAACTTTTGCTTCTAAACAGCGAAACGAGACTCACTTTCAAACCGCAGCGGAAGTGGCCGAGAAACATGTTCTATGCATCTCACCTCATGCAAATAAGCTGGCCAACTGCTTCGATTGCCAACCGAATTGGAAACCGCATGCCAGATGCGCCTGCGCGCACGCACTGTCGCATCCATTTCGCATGGAAAGTTTAATTGTGCCGGCCTAAGACGATCTGGGGGCCAAAGTCTAGTCGAGAACTTGTCCCACGATTGGCCCGATGCTGATGGACGTGGTCCACACGGGAAAAAAAGACAAGTAACGATCACTATCATTCGAGAAAATAATGTTTTCGATGGTATCTTGCGTTTCTTTCAATTAATGAAGAGATTTCAAATGAAATGTATGAGTTTCGAAACTCAACAAACTTTTTCTAAAAATACCAGTTTATTATTAAAAGGTTGCCAAAAAAAAAAAAAATAATTAACCTTTAATGCTGTGCTGAAAAAGAAGGTTTCGTGTCAATTAATATAAATTAAGTCTCTTTATATTAATTATTTTAAATATTTAATTTTTACCTCTTTTTTTGTTTGTTTAAATACAACTTTTAATGTGTTGGTGGTCAATTTTAATTATGATTATAAAATTTAAAGATATTTTTTAGTTCCTAGAGTCTAATTAACCTATATCTTCTATTGTTTGCTCAAAGAGATTTTAACGTATTGGTTTTCAATTTAAATGATGATTGTAAAGATTCTAATAATACATTTTAATCGGCTCAGTGTTTAACAAAATAGAATGCCAGTTTTTCCGTGTACTCTGAAGTAGTGAAATTAATTTCCAGCTTAATAAGCCCAAGCCGCAACCTATTTTCCAACCAGGAAAGCCCTCTCGATGAGTCACAGGAATGCTGTGGAGTGCCCCCAGCTAGACCAGCTCCCAGCTAGACCAGCTCCCTCCGGATCCACAGTTAAATCTTTCCACTCCCCCGTAGCTTGAGATACTCCTCGCAGGGAAAAGGAAATCAAACAGCGAATTGGCAACTTCACACAGAGCTTCTCGAACACGAAGACCAGATCAAACGAATATTTTCAGGCCTGGCTGACTGGTTTGCCGTTTTGGCTGGCGGGTAGCTTCTGCCCGACTACTTCCCCCTGAGTTCCCCGCAAGAGCCCCTGAATTCTTGGCCTCACTTTTGCATTGTAGTTTGGCCCGTTCGTCGTTGCTTTTTATCGCTCGCCTCGACCGTTGGCCGCTTTAGTTGAATTTCAAACGTTTGCGCGCGCGGTTGTCGGAACGTGTCCCGAAAAAAGTTGAAAAACCGAGACATAAAACCTATTGAGGCTTTGACAGGCGCTTTTCCTTCAGTCGAAAGGACCACCACGCGCAGTTTGAAAAGTGAGAAACGTGCTGAGATCTTTGCATTCGAAAGAAACACACGCTTGATCTTCAGCTGAACTTTATAAGAAGAGGAAGGAGAGTTCAGCAGCTGAAACTAGGACAGGCAACCTCACCAGTTCGGGAGATTTTTCTCAGCAACTGAAGATTATGTAAGCCTTAGTCTCCTACCGCAGAATATGCCAAAAAAAAAAATAAAAGCCAAGTACCTAATTGTTATGCATCCGGCGTTATCGCTTGTCAACTTTCTACACCCGCTCTTTTTGATTGATTTCTTCACTTATTCAAGGCACGGACATATCAACATCCAAATCCAATTCGAATCGAAATCCGGTGGGCACTTGCACTTTCCTCCGTCAAAATTACCTTTCGCAACCATTGTTTTTGTTTTGTTTGCCGCATTTCTGATTAATTATTCAGCACCAGCAGCATTTCTCGCAGTGCGGGTGCAACGTGCCCGCTAAAACGAAAGACTTGAGCAACGAACTTTTCGGCGTGTGTCAACTTGGCTGCGATCGGGTATGAAATAATCAAAATTATTATTCGATCTGAAGTGCCAGCGCTCACCTGCTGACCCAGTTTTCGGTTTCACTGCAAAAATTAAGTGAATTTCTTTATGTCGCCGTAAAAGCAAAAACTCTCTGGATTCTGACGGACGGACGTGGATACGTCCATACTTAGCAGGCGCCAATTAAAGCTCAGCTGCACTAATTCGCCATAAGTTGCCAAGGCTTTTCACTGTCTCGGACACTGCCTCTTTCTCTTTCTCTGACTCTGTCTCTGTCTCTGTCTCCTTTCCTTCTCGATCTATGTGTCTGCCTCAACTTACTCCTCACACATTCCCAACTGCTATTTGTTGCGTGTTTGTTGTTTGTTAGTGTCTGCCAAGTTATTTACCAAAGGGTAATTCCCCTGGCACGTGAAACTGGCTACCGAAAGTTGTAAATCTAATGCTCAATAAATGTAAACATATTTTGCACATTTAATGTCCCTACCTACTTTTAAGTTATATCATAGTAGTCTCTACGATCTCTGTGAACTTGTCAGGTCTTTTTGTAGGGGACCTTTTGGATGTCACTTATTGAACCTTGTTTTAAAGTAGGTCGTTGTAAAAATACTTAGCAGACGCACAAATTAATTTTCAATAATTTAACGAAGTTTTTAGCTGCCTTTACTTATTCTTGTTTTTGAAACGTAAAAGTTTATAGTTTTTTAATATTTCAAAAGCTTTAAAATACACATTTTTTAAATAAAAACCTTTGTTATTTTTCCATATAATTTTATAATTAGTTAAGATTCTTTGATGTTAAAAAAAAGTCAACCACATATAATGAATATTTAAAGCTGATAGTCAAACACATTCATTATACATCTGCATTTAAATTTTCACCAATATTTGGACCAGAGTAGTAATTTATTTTCTGAAATGCCTGAAAGGCATTTAAGCTTCGACTTAATTTTCGTAGAAGTCGAAGTGATCCTTGGCCAACATGTGTTAGGCCACCATTCATGGCCATAAGCGAGAGTCGCTGTCAACTGAAGAGGATTGCTTTGGTTAGGAGTGGTGCGGAGCAGAGTGAAGTGGGGATAGTGGACGGGCCAGTTGTGACGCTTCCTCAACGCACTTGCCCATTCCGAGGCAGCTGCTCCGCCTTGTCCTCCTCTTTCTCAATGTGCAGCCTAGATAGTGACCCCATTTCGCTCTAGCTTCTATCACCGAGCTGCAATTAATCTCATCTGCATTTTGGCTCTATTCGATGGTCACGCCCACCGGCTGTTCGCCTGTCTGCCCAAAGTGACGTCTTGACACCGAGTTTGCTTAGGCCTAATTTCCTTGAAGCGTTGTAATTGCCGAGAAACTCTGTCAAACCTTGTGCTAATTGATTGAGATGAAGCCTGAAATACTTGACTTACTTAAATTAAATTTTTTGGTTGACCGAACTACACTGTTTTTATCAAAATTAAATAATAAATAAATCGACCTTTAGCATCTTTAAAAAACGGGAAAAATGTTTGAAAGTTAAAAAAGAAATTCCTTTAGGCAACCTTAAAAAGTTAAATCTATTTCGCCACCAAAAAAATATATTTCACATAGCAATTTTACAGAGGTAACGATTGTAATTAAATTTATTTATCAATATTATTTATCACATTTTGACACATTTGGATCTTTGCACTTTTTAAATTCTTTTTTATTTTTGTTAACTTAAATTCTGCTGGCAGACCAAAGCACTAGATTTTGTTTACAAGCATTTAAGTCAAAGATCTGTTACCACTAGTAACGCCCACAAGCCTGTCTGATATCTTGTTTACTTCAAACTGAGAGAAATTTGGCGAAACCTTTGCGTTGATGATTTTGAAGAAGGAGTGTGTCGAGTTGGCTGGATTGCCTTGGTCTAGATAGATGGGGAACCTGCACCTCCCAGTTGGATCTAAAATTGCAGCCTTTGGGAAAGTGCTGCCGCTTCTGGCTGGGGCTCTAATGATCGCCTCGGATCGCTAACGGATCGCAAACACTTCATCTATCTATACAAGTATATTGCCAACTAAAGCGAACCGGCTGTGGCAAGTGGCAAGTTCTTCGCTTAGTTGCATCATTTGTGGTGTGGTAAAAGTGCGTCTTGCTCTATTTAAATACTTTTCGGGGTGAAATCGACTTCTACTGCAACTGGTTTCGTTTAGAATTATAAATCAATTTGTAAACATGCTTTCACTGAACACATACGCATATTGCCAATTCCCCTAGCAACTGCGATTGATGTGAATTTGTGTAGCTGTTGCTGCAAGTTGTAATCAGAACTCAAGCTGCCAAGGCTAACGGTTCAAGCCATTGCAGCTGGAACAATGCCAAGAAGTGGAGGAAAGCTTTCCCAAAAAATCGACATATGCTCTAAGCAAAGAAACCAGTTAAAAAATTGAAAAACAGGGGGATGCTTTGAGGCGCAAAGAGGTGGGATCCAAAATCTAGTTGAGAATGCAGAAAGGGGTGTGTAGACCAGTAGGTGAGGCCATGTGTGTGTGCCACAATTGCTGTTATACAACTGTTGTATAATGATGGCCATTAGGCCAGTCTTTTGCCATCTCAATTGCTGACTAGTTGAAAGTAGTCGCCAGCCGAGTTCGTTCCTTTAGTCTTTTGTTTGCGGTGAAAACTAGAGGAGTATTTAAATAAGCCAAACTAGGCAGTCTTCTTATTTATAAGAACTATACTTAAACAGCTATAAAAGTCAGTCGATCAGTGTTTTCAGTTTCATTTGAAATAGAGCAATCTTAGCTAGCAAATGGCCAAATGGCATTCTCATTCAATAAATGTTCAATATATTGCATGTGGCTCTAACCACTCTAATCACTATTATTAGCATCTTAACGTTATTATGACAGCATCGACTTGATTATTCAATAAGCTTTAAAAATTCAAGCATAATTTAAAAAATGAAGTGTTGTTATTGAGTTAGTTCGGTCTTATCTTTTAAAGCGCCTTAGCCATGAGTTGGGTATACTAATAAGATCATCAATTGTCAATAAGCTGTTTCGCCTCTCTTTTAATAATACTTATTACCATCTTAGCACTGATCACCTCAGCCAAGGATGGAGTTGCAAAACGTGTTAAGGCGCCACAGCCACCTGCTCCTCCTACTACTGCTGCCACTTGTCAGCTTATGTCCAACTGCATTGGCACTCAATCGACAGGCGGATGCTGGCCGGGATTTGGATGTGGCAGCACAGCTGGCGGATGCGGAGGCCCAGGCAAGGTCGGACTACGAAGCGGACTCCTCTGACACGCCGCATATACGAAAGAAGCGTCTCATCTGGATCACGGATGATGGACGATTGGCCCTGCCGCCGGGCACTTCGCTGACTTTTGTTCCAACCATTGCCATGCCCCTGGTGCGCCATCCGCCCGAGGGATTCTTCTCTAACCTGACTATCAGCTTTCCCGTCACCAGTGAGTAGTCAACTCTTTCTCTGCGTGTGATCAATCAATTAACTTCGATGGTTTCGCCACAGTTGACTTCGACAAGCTGGGACTAACGGACAACCAGAATCCTCTGGGGGATTTGCCGCCGCTATTCGCCCGCTCTTTTGGCCACGAGGCAGGTCACATGGTGGGTGAATACGTGGCCCGGTATCTGCATGTCCAGCGCAGGAAGAGGGACCTCAGCGAGCAGCGCAGCAGGAGCGACGAGGACCATCCGTTTAAGGTGCACGAGGAGGGACCGAAGTTTCCGGAACTTCCCTCCGGATTGCAGCATATTTTCCATGGCGGGGAGAGGGTTTTGCTGTACGGCGTGGTGGAGGACTTCCTGTCCACCTTCGGCATGGATGGCAAGGCCTGTTTGCTGAGGACCATCTGCGAGATGCACTCGCGGAGTCTGGAGAAATTCGGTGTCTTTGGTGAAATGACCAAGCTGTTTTTAACGTTAGTATCACTAGATCTTTAAAATTATTTACTAAACTTGAAATAAAATATTGTTAATTAAATGCTCTTCTTTTTAGGGTCACAAAGTCCCCATTTTCCGACCTGGTCCCCGATTACGTTCAAGCTCAGGAGGTGGGCGAGGGAAAGCAGGCCCCAGGCGAGTGTTTTCCCTACTTCAAGGACTGCCCGAAGAGCATCTTCAAGGCCTTGTCCAGCAAATATAGCAAGCCAGCTCCTGCGGCCAAGACGAAAAGGACAAAACCCACGGACAGACCCGTGGGCGAGTATCATGAGGAGCAGGTGATCCAGCTGCCCAGCACGCGGGAGCGGGACAACGATGTGTATATGTAGAAGCACTCCATCCGCCCAAGCGAACTCCCATTGTTGACCTCGTCTAGTTGTTAGGATTATGATTGAATTGAGCGCGCCCTCAAAGTCACTTGCTTGTAATTAACGTGTACTAATTAATTTATTATTATTTATTTTATTTACGCTTTGTATTTATTGTTAGTCGTAGGCGTTGTTAACTGCTTAGTTTTGTATCTCTGTTTGCCTAGTGGTCTGTAAATAATTGAATTGTGGCATAATCCCCTCCAATCTCAGTGAAGTTACTTCTCACTATTCCAACCAATGAAACCTTGTCCAATAAATATACAAATAATTCCGATTAACAAACGTTTTGCTGCAGCCGTTTTTCAACATAAACAAATGGCTTTCATTCTTGGCCAGCACGGCGTATACGTTATGTCCAATTGGTTTTTTTGTGTAAGGTGCTTATATAATGCCAAACAATTGTTTTAGGTGGCCTACGGGTATGCAGTTTGAAGAATAGAGCATGAATATATTCTTGGCTATGCCCTCCAGCCGAATTGCATCGTTCATCCAAAGTTGCTGGGATAAAGTTATTTATCAAATATTTTGAATCACGCGCCATAAACTTCAAAGGTTTACATTAGCCAACACTAATTTCAGTTGCTTCACAATATGGGCTTACTGATAGCTTTTTCTTGAATAGTGACTTACATACTACGTTTAAGGAAAATATAAATGAGCTTCATAATTTCAGTTGGTTTTTCGGTTTAAATGTTATTAAATTGTAAGCTTATTCATTTGCACAGTGAGAACGCAGTGTTATCCTACTGCATTTCTCATCAGAGTAAAAACGCACTTCCACCGTCTGGTCACACTGGCAGCTTTGTTTTGGTTTCGCAGCGAGACTTTGTCGTGAGTTCTTTTCGTTTATTTACCAAACTCTGCACAAACAAACCAGCGCCTTAACGTGTTGCACAGATGTTTGCGGATCGCCGGGGCAATCAATAAGCGAACGGTGAGTGTTTTCGGTGGGGCGAGTTGCTGCTCCGGAGTCGGGGGAAAGAAACCCCCCCAGTGGAAAATGTGAGTCAGGCGATGTGTGCTGATTGAATTGGATTATCACGATATGGGCCCCATCAAATTGCCAGCCGGCATTGTAGTTGTTTACATTGCGCGGACGTGGCGCAATATATTTTTAATCTTCTGCGGCAACCTGCTGATTAAGATACTGCCTCCCGTCCACCGTCGCACCTTGTACAGATAACCCTGCAGTGGCTGGAAGACGATGGACGCGAACGCTGGAGCTGGGGAGTCGGCATCGCCGCCATCAAGCAATGAGGCGGCGGCCGGATCCCAATCCCAGAGCGACGTCTCCGAGGAGGAGGATTATCTGGACAACAGCATCGAGCTGAGGGGCTACCTCAGCAAGTGGACCAACTACATCTACGGCTGGCAGCCGCGCTACATTGTCCTGAAGGACGGCACCCTCTCCTACTACAAGTCCGAGTCCGAGTCGGATTTCGGGTGCCGCGGAGCCATCAGCCTGACCAAGGCCACCATTAAGGTAGGGAAAAGTCTAAGGGAGGGCGGAGTGCTCCTCCTCCGGCAAGTGCTTTCAATTGGACTAATAAAAAAGTAATGGGCGTGAGTGTGCGCGCATGTGTTTCGGACGCATTAACCAACGATGACCACGACCCGAGGTCTCATTCTCAGTCTCAGTCTACTTCTACTTCCATTGGCATGTCAATACCCGTACCCATACCCATACCCACACCGATTCCGATTCCCATTCCCATTCCGAGCGACGCAATCAATGCAGCGCAATCAATTAACGTTGGGCGACCAAAATAGACCAAATTGAAGTCATCAATGTAAGTGGAGGCCCCTTGCCCACCGCAATAATGCCTTTTGTTGACAGGAGGGCGTGCTGTTCTGGGAGGGTGTTTTACCACGAGTGTGTACTTATCTATTTATAGGGCCGGAGCTGCAAAAACCATATAAACAATGGTGACTCATTCGCAGTTAGAACTCCTGATCCTACTTAAATATTATAAAGCTTAATCTGGTTTCAAAATGTTTTATTTTAGGCTTTTAAAAACTATTTTGTATGAATTTTTCCCAATGACGGTGACACAGACGACTTAGACATTCTTATGATTATGATTATGATTAAACAAACGAGTTTAGAAAACGATTTTCATACCAGCAATACACAATAGTGACTAAAGACTAATGTTTCATAATAAGGGTCAATTTAGTGCCATTTTGTTTATTATGTAATCGATTCCATAAATCGAAGTTGTTCGAGTTTTGGAAGTTCGACTGTATGTTCTATTTCCAGACATAATTGAAGGTCAATCTTGTATTAGGGTGTTTTTCCTTTTAATGGTAGGCATTTAATGACCATTGATTTGCGAGCCGCCCTAATTTTACTATTGCCATACATATTTGAAGTTGTCGAATTTATTGCTTTACGATAAGTTGTGAAATATACACCCTTTTCTGGCATAAAGTCCTCTTTTAACCTTGCGTTATATTATAGATTCCAAATTTTTTCCATGAAATCGGTAATTAATTTAGCTACAAGCACTTGTAAGTTTTAAGTTCCACGGTTTGACTGGTATATTTAAAACATTTTTTAATTTAGAAACTAACGAGTGCATGTTTTTTTTTTAGGCCCACGAGTCGGACGAGCTACGCTTTGATGTGGTGGTCAACAACCTAAACAACTGGTGCCTGCGGGCGGAGACAAGCGAAGACCGCATGCACTGGGTGGAGGTGCTGCAGCTGTACAAGGAGGACACGGGTAGCACGGACACCACATCCTTGCGGCGCCATGGCAGCACCATGAGCCTGCAGTCGAACACCATCTCGCTGACCAGCGGAGGCAGCCTGAAGAAGACGCAGCGCAACCTGCGCGAGAAGGTCGGCGAGCTGGAGACCTTCAAGGACATCCTGTTTGTACAGATCGAGACCCTGCAGCGATACTTCGACGCCTGCTCGGAGGTGAACAAAAACAATGCCCAACCATTGGACCTGGGCGACGGACTCAAGTCCATTGACTTCAAGGTAAAGTGGAGCACTTATCGGGAAACACTTTGCAATGTATACTCAGTGCAACCCTCAATATCTCAGGGGGAATCCATCACGTTTCGGGCCACCACGTCCGGCGTGCTCACCACCCTGCAGCATTGCCTAGAAATCATCTCCGAGAGCGATGACTCATGGAAACGGAAACTGGAGCGGGAAATTGATAAGCGCCGCCGTTCCGAGGACCAAAGCAAGTAGGTTGACCTAGTCGGACTAGATTTCGAAAGGAAGAAGCAATTTAGACTGATTTTTCTGCCTTTAATATTTACTTTAGCTAACAAGCTTCAAACTAAATGTATTTTTGTTGAACAATTTCTAAATTATCAACGTTATAGCCATATAATTATTAAATTTAAACTAAAAATAATAACTAAAATAATTTTTCAAGTTTATCCATTCTGAAAATGTTAAATCTAAACAAAAACTCCTGTGGTTTATTTTTGCAGAAAGCTCAAAGACGAAATCGAGAAAATGAAGCGTTTATCATATCCTGGCCCAGATTTTGAGGTGAGTCCAATTTTACAGGCCGTAAAAGCAAAGCGTAATCGCTTTCACGGTCATAGCTGCTCGATACGGGGCCAAACACGTTCCCACTGAAAAAGCAAACAATCGCCGAACGAGAGTGTGGCGCGAAATTCGTAAAAGCGATTTGCGTGTGATTTGTCTGCGTCTTAAAATAAACTGCCTGGTTCGATGTTGTGTCAGAGATTTCATCATATGTATGGAAAGTAGAATACTCTGAACTATTATTTAAGTGTTTCCAAATGAATCAGGGTATAGCTATGTTTGGCTTCGACATTTGGTTGACACGAAGTTCCCATGTTTTGCTCTTATCTGCAATGTGTCATGCAATGTAGTTTTCACTGTCTGATTTCCGCCTTACTTTTGTTTGCCCATTCAATTTCGTTACAATTTAATCGCATACGTCCATAATAGTTTGTTGTTAGAAAAGTTACTGATCCTCAAAACAGAGTATCTGATGATTTTCAAGTACTCGATTTGGACGGGCTTCTTGGTACAATCATTGGGCGACTGCTCAAGCTTAAAGAATGGGCGTCTAGACGGTTTCTTGATTGTAGATTGACAGTCCGAAGTTACCGAAGACTGCAGCAATTGAGGTTGACAAATGAGCCAGCAGTTGGTCAACATGCTTTTTCTATAAAGGGGTACATTTTCTGATAGACTACAAAATAAATTTTTTTCTAACGATAAATGTATTTGCTATTAAAAATAATAAGTTATGTAAGAATCTTGATAAAAAAGTATGTGAAATAAGAAATCTATTTCCACTAATTATTCAAGAGTCAATAAGTTTTTACCTCTTCAGAAGGAATATTCGTTAACATCTTTCATATTTCGCTTTAAAAATCAGTCAAGAGTATTTAAACTTCTCCCTGTATTTATGAGCTCTGGTTTTCGACCTGGCTTACAGCTGTCAGGCTTGTGGCTTATGAGCTGGCTTGGTCAGTCGGCGGTCAGCGATCGAGTAGCCAACACGTACCAATCATAAACCAATTCGCTAGGCAAACAATTCAAAACGAAACCGTTTCTTGTTCATATTTGTCGTGGCTTTAATTGAGTGTGCAGATTGTGAAATTCTTGCATTGCATTGAAAGAGCTATTAAAAATACATATATACACAAGTGTACCGAGTGCGCTAGCAAATCTAAAATCGCCGCACGCATAAAAAGATAAATATACAAATTTATAAACAACGTCAACGCCATGCCCTCGGCGCGATTTCTTTGGCGCTCTGGCGCCTTTCAGAAGGGCAAAGTCAAACAAATAAAGGTACACCAGAAGAAAATAATAAAAAATATATATTTAGGGAGTGTGGCTTAGAGGGAATGTTACCAAGTTTTTCGGTTTGTTGTGCGCAAAAGTTACAATATATCTAATTGATAAAATGTCTCATAAATGATTATTTTAGAAGCAATGTTATAATAAGTGTTTTTATTATAATAACATTTAAAAAGTGCATACGTGAAATCTATAAACAAAAAGTATCATATTTACTCTGTGCCATTTATTTTATGGAATCACGAAAAAAGTTTAAGGTTTATCAAGTAAGAGAAATATGATTAAAAGATTTATTTGGTCAGTTTTGGAAGTCAGAAATTCAAAAGGTATTTGAACATGACTTGTGAAGTTTAAATTAAAACTATAACTCAAATAGTGTATTTTTTAAGTGTCGATGCTTTTACTCAAATTAAGAGGGATAAAATGTTGGCGGTGCGTTTTTCAAACCAAATTGGCCTCATTTGT